GACTTCCTTCAATTTTAATAGGGTTCGCCCTTGGGCCAAATAAGTGAGCTGTGCCAAATTTCATCCAAATCGTGTCATAAATGCGACCTGTACTTTGTTTACAATTTAACATATACAGACGTACGGACTGGCGGACATGCATAAATCGACTAAGGAAATGATTCTATGCATATTTTCAAAAGGAACCATGGGTCTAACTCGTTTCCTTTTGCCTGTTACAAACATATGCACGAAGACATAATACCCTGTACCACAGTGTGATGAAGGGTATAAAAATCCTCGCTTGAGGAAACTACTTGAAAAAATATTTTTAAAAAATCCTCGCCTCTGCTCGGCTTTGAAAGCAATATTTAAAAAAATATATTTCTTTCAAATATGGAAGTTTCCTTAGGCGTCCACGACTTTTTTTGAATCTCTTTGCCAAAACAGAGTACATTTAGGCGTATGATGAACAATTTCTCTCATACGCTCCATTTTGCCGTGTTACAAGGAAGCGTATGATTGTTGTCATCAGTCATACGCTTAACGATTAAAATTATTTTTAATTAGTATTCTTTATATTTTGCTAGTTTTTCGTCCCACCTTTAGGTATCTTATTACATTTCCAAAATGCCAGAAAATCTGTAAAACAGTTGCTAAAGCGATTTTAACTTTATATGAAATTAAAATGTTTTGCTCAACTCCAGAAAAGTTCATTCGTGAGAGGTATTGTCGGCAATTAAATGACAATCGTGTAAAATAGACAGATAGTTATTAACTATTTACGGGATATGATGTTCTGGAGGTTAGATGGGGTCTTGTGTGAGAGGTTATTGTGAAGACTTTTTTCATATCATGATAATTTTACCCTCGGGACAATAGTTAGCAAATATGAATTTATTCTTATTATAAAACATTTACAATAAAATATGAATTTATTTTAATTATAAAAATATAATAAACCAAATAAAAGTCTCAATCAACACTATGTGTCAAGGCGTATGATTGACGACAACACTCATACGGCTTTGGGATAAATTTGAAATTTCTGCTAGAAATTTAGTTTTTCTTAACGAACATATAAAGGATATTTATTTTCGATTCTAATAAAGTCTTCTCAACTACTATATGAAAAAATACCCTGCATTTGAGCCCTTAGAATCCTGTCAATATTCCAAAATGTTCAATTTTCTAACCATAACTAGTATCCTTCAACAATTTGTGTCATGGCGTATGATTAACGGCAACACTCATACGTCTCTGGAATATATCTGAAATTTCAACTAGAAATTGAGTTTTTCTGAAGGAAAATATGAAGTATATTTATTTCAGATTCTTATATAGTCTTCTCAACTACTATATGAAAATATACCCTGTATTAGAGCCCTTAGAATCCTGTCAATATTCCAATATTCTCAATTTGCTAAACATAACTAGAATACTTCAATTTGTATACCATCTTGTGCAGATTTTTTTCTATTAAATGCATTTATTTAAAAAATATATATAAAAAAACACCCAATTTGATTAAAACAATATTCAATATTCTAATCTTTGCCATTGTTTTCATTTCCAATATCGCTAACCAAACAATGGTCATTGCTTTCCCATTAAATTGAACAAAAGATTAGAATTTTGTGGTTCTCCAAATGAAAAAAAAAATCGGAAAACTAAAATTTCTGTCTGTTTTGATAGTCAAGCGAGAATCGAACGAACGACCGAACAACCACAAAAGAATATTAAATTGTTGTTATCTCCCAATATTTTGTTGTTATATTTTTTTCTCTGTTATTATTCAACAGAATTTTCAATTTTCCGAATAACTATTTAGAATGTCGCATTGCCGAGTTATGTTATTTTTTTCCAATTCAATTGCCATGTCGCATGTAACCAGCTCTTAAATAATTGCGAAACAAAATGGAATTTTTTTCAAAGGGATCGGAGGCGTTGCTGGTGGGTAGGTTGTTCTGCGTTTTGGGAGGTAGAGCTTGAATAAAATATCACATTGGTTATATTGAATAAAACACTCTTATCTATGTTATGATGAATGAAATATACGGAACAGTGGGTGGAAATTTGTGAAGAAATGTTAAAACTATTAAAAAAATATCCAAACCCTGTATTTTCAATTCCAGCAAAAATAAACTGAAGTGCCTCAAGGCGTATGATTGGCGACAACAGTCATACGGCACCAGGATCATATCACAAAATAATAGTTTTGGAGTATAATGTTCAAAACAAATTTTCAAGACTTTAATAGGCGTGTAATTTAAAAAAAAAACTTCATGTAGCCAAAATAGGCGTGGATTTTTTAAACAAATTTTTTCAAGTAGCTTCCTTAGGCGTGGATTTTTAAAAGTATTTTTTCAAGTAGCTTCCTTAGGCGTGGATTTTTAAAAATATTTTTTCAAGTAGCTTCCTTAGGCGTGGATTTTTAAAAATATTTTTTCAAGTAGCTTCCTTAGGCGTGGATTTTTAAAAATATTTTTTCAAGTAGCTTCCTTAGGCGTGGATTTTTAAAAATATTTTTTCAAGTAGCTTCCTTAGGCGTGGATTTTTAAAAATATTTTTTCAAGTAGCTTCCTTAGGCGTGGATTTTTAAAAATATTTTTTCAAGTAGCTTCCTTAGGCGTGGATTTTTAAAAATATATTTTCAAGTAGCTTCCTTCCTTTTAAATAAAAAAAAAATAAAAATATATAAAATCATCGGGGGCGTATGACTGCTGTCGTCACTTATACGCCTAAGTTCCTGATTGGAATTAAATTTCATTTGCAAAATTTCAAAAATGCCTCCCACTGTATTTCAATTTCTATTTATTTTGAAAATTTTACCAAAAACTACATAATAGATGACCAATGACTAGCTCAACAAATTTATTATTTTATGTAGATTCTAATATTCGAAAGCTGTTGGTTTATCAAAAAGTGAGAGACACCAAAAAGAAGCGGGCCAGAGGAGAGGTATCGGAGAATGGCAAAGAGGTTATTTATACACTTTCAATGTTTTGGCTTGTGGCATATTTAAATTAGAAATAAATTTAATATTTCTCTCTCGAACACACACACACATTTTCACATTTATACAATACCAACACTAAAACAGGACCTCAAAGATAAATGCTAACAACAAAATGGAATAGAAGTAGAAATATTTGTTTTTTATTTAATTTTTTTATATTTTGTGGCAAGGACAAAATATGAATGAATTATTTTTTCGGGCTATTGAAATCTTAAAAAAATCTGAACTAAACAAAAATTTCAACACCAACAAAGTGAACAAAAAAAAAAGTGAACACAACAAATTGAATTTTTATCAAGTGAGCATCTTTTTATGGACTTTGGTAAACAGTGGAGATTCTTTTTTTCTTTTAGTTTATTTCATTAGGCATTTCATTGAAGAAACATTTTCGTAGAGTGTATAAACAAAATTTTAAAAATTTGATTTATAGTGAGGTTAGAAAAGGGAATAAAAAATATTTGAGAGGCACCTGCCCACCAACAAAATATTAGGTGATAGTGAGGCGTATGATTGACGACAAAAGCCATACGCCCCCAAACACAGATTTCAAAATATTTATTTAAAATCTTATTACAGAAGTGAAAATTAAAAAAAAAAATAAGTAGCTTCCATAGGCGTGGATTTTTAAAACATATTTTTTCAACTGATCCGATAGGATTTTCCTGAGGTCAGGTAGGGCTCAAAAAATGTCTATGGAAATTCTATGAGTTCACAGATTTCTCAAAAAACCTATAGAAATTCTTGGAGCACACGGAGGGATCAATTCTAAAGGAATTCTGGGAGCCCACAGAGGACTAAGAAATTCTGTGAGCTCACAGAAGGTTTAAAAAATGTCTATAGAAATTCTGTGAGCCCACAAAGGGCTCAAAAAATGTTTATAGAAATTTTGTGAGGCCACAGAGGGCTCAGAAAATGTCTAAAGAAATTCCGTGAGCCCACAGAGGGCTCAAAAAATGTCTATAGAAATTCTATTAGCCCACAGAGGGCTCAAAAAATGTCTATAGAAATTCTGTGAGCCCACAGAGGGCTCAAAAAATGTATATGGAATTCTGTGAGCCCACAGAGGGCTCCAAAAAATGTCTATAGAAATTCTGTGAGCCCACAGAGGGCTCAAAAAATGTCTATAGAAATTCTGTGAGCCCAAAGAGGGCTCAAAAAATTCTAAAGAAATTCAGTGAATACAAAAGAGTTTAAGAATTTCGATTCGGCCGAACTTATTTTCGTTTTAGCTTGTCTTTTTTTCAAAATTCCTCCTCTCCCTCGATTTTTAAAATTCAAATGAATTATGAATCCAATCAAAAAGTTTCAAAAACACAAACAACAACAGAAATTTGAAAAGATTAACAAGAATTATTAATTTAATATTTTTATGATGGGCGAAGAACAATTCATTAAAACTTGATTTTATTGTTCATTAATAGATTCTAATGTCATAATGGATGGTTGTTGTCGTTGTTGTTGTTGCCACTGGCATTCCATAAAGTACATGATGTTGACCTCGACGATGATCTCCTAAGGGAAAACCGAAACAAAAACAACTGTGGGATGTTTAAAAATTGTTTGATATCGCTGAATTTTCTGTGTGTTGTGGTTGTCGGCATGAGAGGTTGGAGGATTGGGCTGGCTTTGCAAATGATGGCGATAAGACCCTGTGGCAAATTATTATTCCTAATAAATAATTTATTTGAAAAATGAATCAAATCAAAACATGATTTTAAATCTGGATGGATATTTATGTTTGTCTAATTATCAAACGGAGACAGGGAGATTAGCCCGTCACTTCGTAGAATAATTTATTTTTCTTAATGCGGTGGCCAGGGGTTTGGGGTTCTGCTCGAAATTTATTTATGATAAGCGAACTTATGAAACATATTCTTGCCCTAGCTTGGCATGATAATCTGTTATTGTTGTTGTAAATAAATGCCAAAGTTCTGCTGTAAGCAAAAGCGATTAAAACTTAATTGGAAATTAGTTGGAAAGTGGAAGCTGAGGAGAGAGGACGAATTTGAAAACAAAAAATGAAAACCGAGAAAATTGGCATTGTGGGAAGGTTGGTTCAGAATTTCCGATTTAAGAAAATATCTCCGATAAACTAACTTATTTTTCCACCCAGTGGCCTCATTGGTCGTGCCTGGTCCATGCTATTCACCTCGGTGGGCTATCAGGTGACCCTGTATGACATTCTACCCGACCAGTTATCCTCTGCCCTGGAGTACATTGACATTGAATTGCATCGCCTGGAACAGCAGGGCTTGTTGAGAGGCCATCTGAGTGCGGAGCAACAATTCAAATGCCTGAAAACCACAACCGACATAAAAGAGTTGACAAGGCAAGCAATTTTCATCCAGGAATGCATACCCGAACGCATCGAATGGAAAAAGGCATTGTATCGGCAGCTGGATGACATACTCGAGGAACAAACAATTGTTTCCAGTTCGACGAGTACTTTTATGCCATCCTTGTTTACCGAAGGACTCAAACATTGTCACAATGTAAGTGGAAGCAAAGGACGAAAAAAAATATTCAAACAAAGGACCTCCTCATGGAGGTTAAAGAAGAGAACCTTCAATTTAAAAATAACAATAAAAAATAAACCCCTCCTCCCTTTTAGATGTTGGTATCCCACCCCTTAAATCCACCCTATTATATACCACTTGTGGAGATAGTTCCCGCCCCCTGGACCTCTCCCCAAGCCGTCGAAATCACCAAACACTTAATGTTGGAAATAAAACAAAAACCTGTCACGCTGAATCGTGAGGTCCTCGGCTTTGCCACAAACCGCATACAATATGCCATACTAAATGAAATCTGGCATTTAGTGGACAAAGATATTTTAACCGTTCGCGATATCGATACAGTGATGAATGAAGGTTTGGGTTTACGTTATGCCTTTTTGGGTCCCATGGAAACGGCCCATCTAAATGCTGAGGGGATTGCCGATTATATCCAGCGTTTTGGTGGTGAAATTCATAAGGTATCACAGACATATGATCCCATACCGAAAATGGAACCAGGACCCACTTTGGAGAAAATTGCTGAACAATGTGAAGAGATGGTACCAAGGGAGAAGTTGGCGGAACGCCGCAAGGAACGTGATGAATTTTTAACGAAGTTAAGTGCTCTGAAGAAGGAATTTGAAAAATAAATATTTTAAAAAATGTCTAAAGAAATTCTGTGAGCCCACAGAGGGCTCAAAAGATTTCTATAGAAATTATGTGAGCCCTGGGAATGCCCAACAAATGTCTGTAGAAATGTGGTGAGCCCATAGATGGATTCAATATCAATGTTTTTTTTTTATTTTTTGCTTATTCTTCACTTCCCATATGACTTGTGACTTTGTAACTGGTTATTAGTTTTCCATTTAAGATATTTTACCATAGATTTGAAAACTTTTTTCAATTCCACTTTTTTTGTAATTTATAGCTTCGCATTGGTCTTTTTCATTCCCTCCCAGACTGACCATGGAACATTTGGTTGGTGATTTTGGTTTCAATTTCAAACTCTTTGCCAAGTACAACACCAACAACAACAATTGATATGACATTAAGTTTTTTTCCGAAACTTCTTAAAACTGATGGTCTTGTTGCCCTCATCCTGCTTCTCCTCCACCTAGCCATTATATGTTTCCAGCTCAATGAGGTTAAAGGTTGTCGTCTAATCTTCGTTCTACCCACCTTTCCATCAAGATTTCAACAAAGTGCAAAAGGTAATAAAGACCGGACTTGTGCCTAAAAACTTTTCAAGCAACTCAATCGGAGCCAGCAAACAGAGTAGGCAGGCAGCAATGTTGCCACCCGCATATCCATCCATCCTTTGGCTCACTTTCAGATCCAAAGCAATATTCGAAGTTTATGCGATAACTTTCTTGTGTAACATTTGTAGATGTCATTCACTCGGTGGAACTTCTCGGGACAAAAAAAATAGGCAAACCATTAGATGACTGACTGAGTGAATGGGTGCCGCAAAAATGTCAGGGGGAGTAGTAGCATTGGCAAAAATCTTCTTGGCCGGCTGTTTGGCTAGGCGAAAAATTTATCGAAATTGCAATTTACCATCAAAATCGGGTTTCCAGAAGAAGACCAACCGAATGACAGGGCAGGAGAGGAGAACAACTTCAAATTGGAAAATATGTTGCAGTTTTTGTTCGGATGCTGGTGCTTCTCCTTCATCTACTTCTTACTTAAATCTTCGCTTCAATTTACCTAAATGCATTTAAGATGATGCCGATCGGGCAGTTGGCCAAGATTTCACCATGTTGTCCTTTTTTTGCCTTCAATTTTCTGTTTGTTTTCATTGCTTTGAAAAATGTGTCTATGTACCTAGCTTCTTCGTGGTTGGCATGTGGGTGAAGTTTATCCACGATGTCATGTCGAAAAGTTGTTTTTTTTTTTTCACAACATCGCCGCAATAAGAAAACTTTAAGGAATTTAAAGGATTGAGCAAAGGACGAAATAGAATCAAATAATTGAAATTTGTTGAGACCTCCATGGGCTCACGGAATATCTATTGAATTTTTTGAGTCCTCCCAGGGTTCACAGAATTTCTATATAGAGATTTGTTGAGCCCTCTGTGGGCTCACAGAATTTCCATAGAAATTTGTTGAGACCTCTGTGGGCTCGCAGAATTTCTATAGAATATTTTTGAGCCCTCTATGGGTTCGCAGAATGTCAATAGACATATAGCCACCTCTAAATATGTCTTTAAAAATAATAAAAAATAGACATCAAATTGTCATAATTCCTGCTTATGCATCCTGAAAGCTAAAATCGCCATCCTTCGTTTTTAATAACGACACCATGTTCAATATATCCTTTGACACATCACTTTGTGTACAACTCAATTTGAATATACTGCCGAAGGAGATTTCTCTTTTTTTCTTCATTATTATGAATATGCATGAAATGTCATATCGTCTTATGAAGATGGCGGTGGTCGGACGTTCGGTCGGTCGGTCATTAAGAGGCAAAAATGACATAGATGCACTTTAATGGATTTTCATTTATTTCGGTTCGGTTTTTAGTTGTTGCTGGATATGACCTCAAAAAGGATACGACATGGCTTTTCTTTTTTGGTTAATATTCATAAGCAGAGACAGTCGATGGATATTTTTGTTATTGTCGGAACACAAAATACAAGATAAGATGACAGAATACAAATTTCATTATCATTAAAATGCATTGAGTGGGCTGGGGAGACAGAAAGAAAATAAATTAAAAAAATAATGAAGAAAATAGAAAACAAGTTTGGAAAGGCTATTGTCAGGATAATTAACATGACAAGAATTTAGAAATTAATTTATTTATGTTATTGAAATAATAAATACGAAAAATATTCCAATATTGTGCATTGAGAATTCCTATAGAAAAATTTTGAGCCCTGTTTGAACCCTCACTGGACTCTGTGAATTTATATAAAAATTGTTGGAGCCATCACAGGGCTCACAGAAATTTTTTGTGCTCCCTATTGTTTCACAGAATCTCTATTGAAATTTTGGGAATCATCTATGGGCTCAAAGAAATTATATAAAAATTTTTCAAGCCACTTATAGGCTCACAGAATTTCTATAGACATTTTTGGAGCCCTCTATTGGAAAATAACTTTTGAACGAATTGTGATTTTTGTGAGATTTAAACGGTTATAAGGAGAAAGAAAAGGAAAAGAGTTAGACTGGATCGCCTATATGATGCCCTACAACACATTGGGTATATACGAGTGATTTTTTTATGTAAATGGAACAATGATCGTGTCTCATTTGTTCCATTTAACAAAAAAATAGTCAATATTTTAAATATTTTTGTACTTTTACAAAATGATAATTTTCACTTATATAACATACGGTTATCTATATATGTAATAAAACGTTAGAATTTCCTCGAACCATTGCTGCAAAATTTATGAAAATCGGTTAAGTGGTTGCTGAGTTATTTGCATTTGAATTCAACAATGTTTTTCAACAGCCCAGAGCAGTGATTATTCGGTTATCTTCTCTTTGCAAAAGTCATGTAGGCAAAAGTCGATCTATATTTCCCTATAGCTTGTTGTCACTGATAAGGTGCAATGTCGACCACTAAACCCCTAATTTCTTTGCAATTCGTTGTATAGAACCCTAACTTTAGACGACTGACCAGAAGTAAAAAAAACAATCAATTTCCCCATAAACAAATAAATAATGAAAATTAACATTTTATTAACAATATTAATTGTTGGTAATTACTTAATACTACAGAAACAACAACAACAAATTAAAAAAACGTCTATTTTCTTTCCAGGACTTTGTGCATCGTCATGCTCGGCCAAAAATCATTTCCTCTTCTCATTTTATAAACTTTTCGATTTCTTGCAAAAGGATAACGCCAACAATGCCACAAACACTACCAAATCTGTAGAGGAAATGACTGTCGATGAGCTGGGAGTGTCGCGTGGAAATTGCCTTTATCAATTTCTTTCATATGTTGGCTATGAAGATCTGCAGCTATGCTTTCCAGATGATGAATATATTTTGCATCTGTTGCCATCCCCCTTGGCCATTGAGGCACCACGTAAACCGCCCGTCATGGTGAAATGCCTTACTGAACATCCTCTCATTGTGAATGGTACCAATGAAATACGCATTATGAATTCAGTGCAAGATATTGTCGATCTACTCAAACCCATTGGCAATAATACAAAACGTTATCAACCCGGCAGCTGTGTGGTGATATTTTTCTATACCCCTTCATGTTTGGGGTGTTCATTGGTTGCGGCACCGATTGTTGAATTACCATATGCTTTTAAAACCATACCGGTGGCGGCCATTGATGCCTATAAATTCCCCAGTTTCAACACAGAATTTGGTATTGTGGCATTACCCACCATTATGCTGTTTCATCAGGGTCGGCCAGTGGTAAAATATCGTGCCCAAGGGAATTTCAATACTTTCGTGACAAGGCATACGGGATTAAAGCCGTCGGAGGTACCCAAAGATTTGCCACCATCCCCTTTGATAATTTCGGCTGATAATCGCACCGACTATGTTTTGGTTTTGGCATGGCTTTTCATACTAACCTGTGCTGGCTACTATTTTTCACAATCCCGCTTCTGTAAACAAATTGTGGAGATGATTAAACGCAATTGGCATGAATCTGAAGAATTAGAACACAATTGAATGGGAGGAGGAGAGTTAGAATATTTGTGTTCTTAGTTTAGAATTTTGTAAGTTAGTTTTTTAAGTGGCGGAATATTATTTCTTGACACAAAACAAAAAATCTGCTAAACACCATTTGTTGTTTTTTATGTATATTTTAGTTCATTTATTGTTCCTGAACCAAATTTATAAATGCTACACTATTTTTTAATAAAAGAATTTTGAAAACCTATCCCTCTTTGGTTTTTTCTTTTTTATTTAGAGGTTTCAAAGATAGAATAACTTCTAGAGATCCTTTACACCATGATTCGATCGTGGTTAGACGATTTTTCTGTCAAAGGAGTTATACAACATCTATATCATACATATATAGCTAGAAGACCTCCTAGATATTTTTTAAAGCTGTAAGAAGTTCTAAAGCACTTCACCGGGGTTTTCTGTACACGAATTATCTTTCATATCGACTTTTTAATTGATCTTTTGTTTGTGTGGGGTAAAGCACTGGCTGCCGGCATCGATTATACCGCATTGTTTACATTTGACACAAAAATAGTCTATATTTTAAATATCTTAAATACTATAATAAAGACAAAATTTCGCCCTTTAATATGCCACCTTATTTGAGATAATCGGACAGTTGGTTAAAAAGTTACAGCCAGTTGAAGACAATTGTGAAGAAAAGCCCATAAGGAAGGGAGAAAAGTTGGACTGGGTCGACTAGTCCAACTACCACTTGGGTACATACAAGGGAATGTTTCGTGTAATCCGAACAATGATAGTGTCTACTTTGTTTACATTTAACAAAAATTTGTCGATATTGTTCGATATCTTTGAACTTTCACATAATGCTAATTTTCTCTTATATAACATAAGTTGTTATATGTATTGTCAATATGGAATAAAAGTGTGGAATTCCCTCCAACCATTAATGCAAAATTTATGAATATCGGTTAAGTATTGGCTGAGTTATTTGCATTTAAAGTCAACCATGTTCCGAAATACAACCTACTGTTCGATGCTGGGCACCTATTACCTGAAAATGAAAAACCCCACAAAAATGCAGTTTTGAAAAAAGGCAATTTTTCTTCTCTCATGGTGGCTGTTGTGTGTGTGTAGTAGAGTCATCCTACATTTAATTTGTGCACAAAAACATTCACATATCTACTTAAAAATCGGACTACATACAGACTGTGTGTGGCCTAAAAGTATGCTATAAATTTCTTGACAAACCAGCAGCTTGAAAGGAAAAAACCCTTTTGTAAAAAGTGCATTTTTGTGGGGTTTTTCATTTTCAGGTAACAGGTGCCCAGCACCGAACAGTAGAGCGTATTTCGGATCATCATTGACTTCAAAAGCAAATAACTTAGCGACTACTTAACCGATTTTTATAATTTTAGCACGAATGGTTCGAGGGAATTCTAAAGTTTTATTACATATTGACAATAAATATAAAAACATGGGATGTATAAGAAAAAATTAGCATTATCTGAAAGTTCGAAGATATCGATAAATGTCGGTCAATTTTTTGTCAAACATAAACAATGTAGTGTAGTGGTTTTGGGCAGCCGGTCCAATACCCCACAAAAATAATAGTTCACTTGAAAAGTCGACGGCTTGACACATAAATGATGTTTTTATGAAATATTACATTGTGTGTATGGTACCAGATGCAATGGACCGATGGGAACTTAGGAGCAATTTTTTAATAGAAAAATATTAATCAAGATCCTATAAGGATAATTTATCTAAGGAAAAATCGTCAGCAGCCAGAGCACTACTTTTTTCTGACTAGAAGGACTAGAAGCAAGTTTGTTAGGACTCTGAAAGACATCCTTTAGGACACTGAGGACAAATTTTCTATAGAAACCAATCATCAACTGAGGACAATTAAGCTATAAACAAATCACCGAGACCATGAGGACAGTTTTTCAATTTTTCTATAGAAAAAAAAATCGTCAGGACCGTGAGGACAATTTTTTCTATAGAAAAAAAAATCGTCAGGACCGTGAGGACAATATTTTCTATAGTCAAGACTCTGAGGACAATTTTTTTCTATAGAAAAAAATCTTCAGGGCCCTGAGGATAATTTTTCTCTAGAAGAAAATTCGTCGGGAACCTGAGAGCAATTTTTTATAGAAAAAAATTCGTCAGGACTCATCTATACATTTATAAGTTCTATATAATTTGAAGAAATGCGAATAATGAAACCAAAAGTTTGCTTTATTTTGAATTTATTTCCAAGAAAATATATACAAAAATCGCAAGAATCTACAAAATATCTATGACCTAAGAATACCAGAAAAAATAAAACTATAATAGGAAGAAAAATTAAACATTTTTTACAGATACTCGAAATTTCGACGAAATCCCCTCACTCAATCAACGATTTTTATTCATCACCACCTCCTTCTTCGTCCTCATCGAATTCACCTTCCTCATCAGCTGTTGCCTCCTGGTATTGCTGATATTCCGATACCAAATCATTCATATTACTTTCCGCTTCGGTGAATTCCATTTCATCCATACCCTCACCGGTGTACCAATGCAGGAAAGCTTTCCGACGAAACATGGCGGTGAATTGTTCCGACACCCGTTTAAATAATTCCTGAATGGCTGTGGAATTGCCAATAAATGTAGCCGACATTTTCAGACCTCGCGGAGGTATATCACACACCGCCGTCTTACAATTGTTCGGTATCCATTCGACAAAGAAACTGCTATTTTTATTTTGAATATTTAGCATTTGTTCGTCGACCTCCTTCATGGACATGCGACCACGAAATATAGCTGCCACGGTGAGATAGCGGCCATGCCGTGGATCACAAGCAGCCATCATATTTTTGGCATCGAACATTTGCTGTGTCAATTCGGGTACGGTGAGGGCTCGATACTGCTGGGAGCCACGTGATGTGAGTGGGGCAAAACCAGGCATAAAGAAATGCAGCCGGGGAAATGGTACCATATTAACGGCTAATTTACGCAAATCGGCATTCAGCTGGCCGGGGAAACGTAGGCAGGTTGTCACACCCGACATTGTGGCCGATACCAAATGATTTAGATCACCATATGTGGGTGTGGTTAATTTTAGGGTCCGAAAGCAAATGTCATAAAGGGCCTCATTATCTATACAATAGGTTTCATCGGTATTCTCCACCAGCTGATGGACACTCAAGGTGGCATTATATGGTTCGACCACGGTATCCGATACTTTGGGCGAGGGGACAACGGAAAATGTGTTCATGATGCGATCGGGATATTCTTCACGAATTTTGGAAATCAGCAAGGTGCCCATGCCGGAGCCTGTGCCACCACCCAGGGAATGTGTCAACTGGAAGCCCTGGAGAAATAAATCAATTAATACAAATTTTAAATAAAAATATAACCTCACTTCCAACTCACCTGCAAACAATCACAGCCCTCCGATTCCTTGCGCACCACATCCAAAACGGAATCGACCAGTTCAGCTCCCTCGGTATAGTGGCCCTTGGCCCAATTGTTACCGGCTCCTGATTGACCGAACACAAAATTATCGGGTCGGAAAATCTGACCAAACGCTCCCGATCTCACGGAATCCATTGTGCCTGGTTCCAAGTCCACCAAAATGGCACGTGGTACATATTTCGCCCCCGTTGCCTCATTATAATAGACGTTTATGCGTTCCAATTGCAAATCGCTGTCTCCATAATAGGTCCCCGTCGCATCGATACAATGTTCATCGGATATAACCTCCCAAAATTTGCCACCAATTTGATTGCCGCATTGGCCAGCTTGTATGTGGACTATTTCACGCATTTTGTTGTTGGATTTTCAGGGAATTTATCAGTTAAAGAAAATTAAATCTCGACGAAGAAAAGTCCGCTGTTAGAAAAAAGAGGTCCTCTCCTGTCCGTTTTAAAATCGATTTTTCAAATAATTTTTTCGTTTTTTTTTTCAATTACAAAATTTTCAATGAAAAGTTGTGAATTTTTGGAGAAAATGTTACTGTGTTGAAAACAATTATTTGAAAATTGTACAGTATTTCTTTATTGATACAGTAGGAAAAATATCGTCAGGACCCTGAGAATAATTTTTTCTATAGAAAAATATGATAGAAAAAAAAAACAATTTTCTATAGAAAAATTATCCTCATGGTCCTGACGATATTTTTTCTATAGAAAAAATTATCCTCAGGATCCTGACGATATTTTTTCTATAGAAAAAATTATCCTCAGGTTCCTGACGATATTTTTTCTACAGAAAAAATTATCCTCAGGGTCCTGACGATATTCTTTCTATAGAAAAAATTATCCTCAGGGTCCTGACGATATTTTTTCTATAGAAAAAACGATAGAAAAATTATTTTTTTCTATAAAAAAAATCCTCAGGGTCGTGATATTTTTTTTCCTATAGAAAAAAATATCCTCAGGGTCCTGATGAAGTTTTTTCTTTAGAAAAAATGGTGTCAGAACCCTGAGGATATTTTTTTCTATAAAAAAACTAAAAAAAAAAATATTTTACATTTTTTGTATTTATTTTATAAATAAAACACCAACTATTTTTTCTAGATTTTAAATTGATATATTTATCGAATAAGGTGTTTATTTCTTCTTCTTCTTTTTGTTTTTCTTTAAACTAGTTTTCTTTTTGTTGTTGTTTATATCAATAATCTTTCCAAAAATTAATGAAGGACATCTTCATATATAAAGTTCTTATTGGGAATAATGTTAATAAAAAAACTAAAAATAAAAAAGTAATGGGGTAATATAAATTAGAAAATTCAAGAGAAAGGAAAAATTTAAGAATTCAGTATTTTAAAAAACTTATAAAAATATTGATTTAGATAAATTCAAAATATTAAGAAAGTGAATTTAAATCAAGGACATTAAATAGAAAACAAATTTCATTTTTTTTAAACAATTGAAAATAAAATTAAAATCTAAAACCATTTGAACATTGATATCAAAAAATATTGAAGCCAATTTAGGAGATAATTCATTTAGTTTTGTTGTTGTTGCTCTTTCTAAACTGCATACTACTTAAAAAAATGGAATTCACATCATAACCATAATAACCTGGATGATCTACACAACTCAGCATTGAACTTGTACTTGACTCCTTTTCCTTTTTCTCTTGTAATATAGATGAGGTGGTTGTCTGGTCATTAGTTAAATTTCTTTTTACATAGTTAAAGGGATCTAGAGAGAATTCATTTTTTTCTTTTCAAAATGTTATGGATACTGAGAAAAGAGATTACAATTATAATAATGGGGAGAAAGATAGAGGTAGGGAGTAGAATTATTTTTGTTTGTTTATAAAGCTAAATTTCTAAATTAATTATTATTAATAATAAAACATATATATGTATGGGTGTATGTATGCTGAGAGAGATACTCTTTTGCTCCGTTTACTATTACTTTCTCCTGGGTGTTATTTTGTTTTCTTTTCTCTTCTTTTTTTAATGTTTAGCATATTTAGGCCATCTTAAATATTAATTATTTTTCTTTTTTTTCTGTTAAGGTTAAGTGATGTTTTCTTTTTGTTTTGAAATAAATTCAAAGACATAACATAAAAATCTCCCATTGAAAAATAAAATAACTTAAAAGAAAGGAAATTCAATTTCATCATCTGGTCTCGGTGTTTCGAATTTAAATACAAAACATTTTACAACTAGACTTAAGAAGGTTTTCTATAATCCATATTAACCCGCCCCAAAATCATCCCAAAGGTCTTTCTGCGTTGCCTGCATGTCTTCTCCTCTCAATCTCCGTTTTCTCTGTTAGCCGCTTCTATCTTCCCTTTGAATTGATTTTAATTGTTAGATTCTTCCTTGTGGTCTGCTGACGATGATGTTTTATTACTATTTGAGGTTGTTGCTGCAGCTGCTGCTCCTGGAGAATTGCTGGTGGTGGAGTGCTTGTTGCCGCCACCATGTTGTTTGGAACGATGATGATGGTGGTGGTGATGATGATTATGATGATGGTGATGCGAACGTCTGGCCGCTGTTGTATTATAGGGATGTGGATGAACGCTGTAAACAGTTGTGAAAGAGAAAAGTATATTAGTATAATTTTTGAAATATCATATTTATATTTAAAGATTTATATAAAATAAATAATAAACACAAAACAAAATAAACGAAAAATTAAAAAAAAAATAATAATTAAAGAACAAAAAACATGATCCAATGAGAAAAAGTATGTAAGCTTGCAATTTCGAGTTAAAAGAAAATTAATAAAAAGAAAAAAGCTTGATGTAAAACATTGACTGATTTGTTTGCATTTTAATGTTAGGGTGGGTGTTTGGGACACATAATGATAATATTTTTTATGGAAAAATATCGTCCGGGCCCTGAGGATAATTTTTTTCTATAGAAAAAATATCGTCAGGGTGTTTGGGATTTAGGATGTATTAGGAGTGTCTGTATGCAAGAAGCTTCATTTGGGTACCGGCTACATCCACTCGACAACATTTTTGATTGAATCGAAAGAAAAATGGCAGGAATTTTTTGTGATTTTCCGCAACCTAAAAAACGCATTGGAATGAATGAGTATCGTTACTGGAATATTTTTCGGTGGACCCATACATAAAATTGTTGTGTAGTTTCGATGATTAATAACGCTTAAAGTTCATAGTCCATATGTATTAAAAAAGAGAAGTGGCCACAATTAAAATAATAGGAAATATTCATATATGCCCCATACTATCCAAAAATCAATACTATTCTGCCTATAGATGAATAGGTATGAATTAATTAGTATTAATTGCTTAAAACTAAGTAAGCAAGGGTCTACAATAGACGTGGATTTTCTAAAAATATTTTTTCAAGAGTTTACAACAGGTGTGGATTTTTATACCCTGCACAACAATGTTGTCAGGGTATTATAGCTTTGTGCCAACCCCTTTAAGTATACCGATCGTCATATCTCGACTAGCTGAGTCGATCTAGACATGTGTGTCCGTCGTCATCCATTATAATTTGTAAACACGATACAGGCCATAGTTATGGATCAATCTTCACGAAATTTTGTATGTAGGATGGGTTCTGCCTAATGAAGACCCCTAAAGATCGGTGAATATTTAGGTGATGAAATGGACCAAAAACTTAATTTTTGTCGGTATTTGTGGTCGCTCCAGAGGCCACAATTATGGCCCAAACATTGCGCATTTTTGTATGAAGAAGGGGATCGGACCAAAGAATAAGCATGCCTGTTTTGATAAAGTTCTGTCAATATATAGCGGGTCAAATGGACCTTGACTTTTGTGTGAAAAATTACAAAATTTGTATTCTGTGGCGTATATATCTGCCCCTGAAGGCCATAGATCAGAGAAGTTGATAGTATATCTAAGAGGAGTGGTTGGTTCATGTCAATTATATTGTTGTATGTACTCGGATGTGGGATTTACACTTAAATATATACGGATGCTTACATATTCAGATATAATTAAGTAAACTATAACAACACTGGAGGGCGGAAATATAACGCTGATCGCTTTGAATTGTTCCATGAGGTTCCAGTTATGGTCAAGAACAACGCCTATAATTCTCGATGATGATAAAATAATAATTTTGGGATAAAGTGGGCTGTAAACTTTACTTTTTTGTGTGTGTTTTCGAGTCAATCACAACATAACAACACAACCAACGGCGAAGGAAATCTGAACAAGAAATTAAAAGAGCAGTATTGAAAATTAGTAATATTTGTTGACCTCTATACGATCAAGGGATACGTAGTCGAGAGTAAAAGTCGACTTTTAAACTTTTCGATTTTTGCCTCCGACCAAAAAGTCGTTTTTCAGACTTCTCGCTTTTTGGGTCTGATTTGACTTTTCGATGTTTTGATTTTCAACCTGCCTCCCTCACATGGAAAGGTTGAACACGATTTAGAAGTTATTCAATGGATTCGTATCATTTTGGAATAATATAATAGAGTTTGGATCCCAGCCTCAGCAGGAAATTTATATCTAACTTATATATAATGTTAATAAATACAATGTTGAAATTTGTTAGAGAGTGCTACAAATATAGAGACAATGTTTATTTATAATATTTACATATTTACAGACGTTTCAAAACACCAAGTTAGAAAGTTTTCCCCAAATAGAAAGCAAGTTGATTATAAAGAAAAAAATACAAAAATACAACATAGGACAGACGACATCGTAATTTGTTTTACCACAAAAACCAAAATGTCATTCAAACAGAAGAAGAAAATAATCTTTAAATAAATTTTACAAAAAAGGGACAACAATAACAAATAATTATACAATGTGGTGAAGGAGACCCAATTACCAGTATTTGAAATTATACCAATGAAAAAAACAAACATATTTACAAGAAATGGATGAACAATAATAGAATGAAGAGAGAAATATGATGGGATAAGGAGGAGAAGATACAACAAAAATGAGAGATTGATAAAAAAATCTTACAATTTGTGATAAAAAATAAATACCAGGGAGGAGGGTACGCCGCCAGAATAAAGTATTAAAATTTTGCTTAGCAAATGGCACATAATAAAGAGAGTTTCAAAAAAGAATGGAGTAGGATCAGTACATTTGTGTGGTTGGAAACAAAAGTAAGCAGCATTTTGGGGCCTTCATCATCCTTGTTTGTTTATTTTCACAAAATTTTGAGAAAAAATGTATCAGCATTCACACACACATTGCATATGTATGGTATGGTATATCGTTCGTAATTCATTATCGCTTAAATTATCGTTTTTTGTTTTTCGAATGTTGTTGTTTATATATTTTTTTCATTGCTTAAGATTAATATTTTTGTTTTTGTGGTTTCCCGCTCCGAGTGTTTTCTGCTGTTTCTGCGGCAAACATTTTTGTTTTTTATTTGCGATAAAATCGTGGATTATAAACACGCCAATCTCTATATAAATTTTGATGGGTTTGTTATAATTTTCAATTTTTGTTGATGTTATATATGTTTGTTGATTGATTTGGTTTCGGTTTGTTTTTGGAAAAAAGTAAATAATAAAAATATTACAGATTAGAGAACAAAGTATTGCATAAAATAAAAATAAACAAACAAATATAAATAGAATTTAATTTTGTATAGAGGGTAAAGAGGATTGTGGTGGTTAAGTGTTTGTTATTGGTTAGTAACAGTAAAGCATTATTATTATTAATTTGTTTATCGTGTTATTTAAAAATAACTATAAACAATGGAAGGAGGTTAGGTTTGGAAAAAGAAAATAGTATTGGGCATTTAAGAACTGTTGAAAAATGTTTACAGTGGATGATGATGATATTGGAAAACGTGTGGGAAAATAAAGAAAATCGTGAATATTCCAATTAGAACAAAAAATGGTACTGCATATTTCGGCTGTGTTTATATAGCAAAATCCACGTCTTCGATATATAAACAATATATTTTCATATATTCAACAATTACAAAAGGACTATGGAAATTACAGGAAATAATCCACACTCCTTCAGGAAAAAATCAATTAAATTGAACGATTTTAAATATTTAAAAAATGTTGACCGATTGTGTGATAGCTACTTGAAGTTGTGCACCCATTGGATTCTATCTTCGAACTTGATATAGATTTGATAAAAATATTATAATTTGTATAATATGGATATTCCCTTGGATTCATTGATGTGCAGGTTTTTTTTTTGATGTGAAACTTTTCGAGTAGGTACAGGAAGGAGTGAATCGATAGACCCGTGCTTCGGATGATCCATTCGTTTCTTATGATATGTACAAAATTTCAAAAATATTGACACTTTGTGGGGAAAATAGCAGTGGATTGATGGACTCCATAATTAGATGTTATCAAGGATTGATAAAAATAATACGCTGTGTAGGTGTAGGGTTAAATCGGATACTTTGTTCACATAAAATCTATGTTTCCTTCAGAATTTTGGTAAAGACAAATATATTACGATATGCGAAATTTGGGTGGAATTCGACACTATTCGATTAATATCAGATGTCAATGGTTTTAAAATGTAGACCCTTGTAGGGTAGTATACAAAGAATCAGTTGTCCGATAGACTCAAATTTTAGGCTTTATGATTTATTTTTCTTCAAAATGTTGAACATTTTGTGGTAGGGGTACCAAAATCTTCCAATTTGGTCCTTGCTTAGATAATTAGTATACCTTCACTTTTGAAGCGGATTTGGTCCAAAAACTCTTAAAAGTCTTAAAAGTCTATGGATAAGAACTCGAAATTCCAAATTTCAGACAATTCGATGCGAAAATGAGGTTATTCGGACGAATAAGAATTCAAATCGTTTGGGACAACAATATGGATGTTAAATCGGTCGGGACCTTTATATGGGAGTTTGGATCGAATTTGATGGGGAATATTTTATGGTAGAGGTGCCAGAATCTTAAAATTTGGTCCTAAAAGAGGTAGATTGTTAGTCTCCATATTCGAATTTGGCCCTTGTTTGGAAAATTTCGACAAAATGGTAACACTTTTGGAAAGCTTTTTACCTTCCTAGAACCCGGAATTACAAATACTTCGAGTGGAAATTGCGACTAAAACCTCCTAATTACCACCGCATCATATTGGGCCTATCAGTTGCTTTTCAAGAACCCAGAATGTTCCAACACATTCACAAAGCTGGGGAGGAAAATGGAGGCTATATTGATAGTTTTCTGTGAGGAGATTTTTCATGCATTCACACGTGAAGCTATGTTGAACGAGAACTCAGTTGCCCTTTGAGAACCCATTGTGGCTAAACGTATCCATAAATGTTGGAAAATAAGGTAAGAACCTCCAAAATACCTAAAATGGGGAGGGAATTTTATATGGAAATTTTTCTGTGAGAAGGTTTTTTGAAAAAATCAGCCTCAGAGATCACGTGGGATCTATACTATATACGAAAAACTAGAGCAGATTTCGTCCTTTTTGAAGTTCAACTGCCTGATAACACTACAATTTTTGTTAAACATTTGTACAGATTCCTTGAAAATATGTGAAAACTCATCCTTTATATAGTTTAAGCTGCAAAATTTGTTAAATATTTGTACAGATTCCTTTGAAATATGTTGAAATGTACAAGAAATTTAAATTATATATTTCTCATGCAGGTTCCCAATGAAGTCATAATGGGAATTTATCAAAATAGTTCTCTTCATTCCACTGTAAAGCTATTCATGCAGTTTTTTTTATGATAATATTTGTAGGGTACAGGTAATTAATTATATCGAAATTAATTTTTAACGAAAAATCGTTCATTGCGCCGAATGATTTTTTGTGGGTTTTCGAAAAAATATCCAGCGTTGAGGTTTTTCGTTGTTCGGAAAACAAATTTCAAAAAATGTTTGTTTTTTTTAACAAATTAAAATAGTTGGTTGGTTTTTGTTTTTTTTTTAGGTATTCACAAACCTTGGCGACGATGTGGTACTGTGATTATGCATTGTTGGTGTTGTGGCCAATGGCGATGATGGCGGTGTTCTTAAGGGACGACGTGGTGAGACACCACCAATATGGCTGCTGCCACTGCGATAGGCAGATAAACGTCGGGGTGTTGTTGAAATATACGGCGATGGTGACGATGACGACGACGAAGTGTTGCTGATGTTGTTAGTGGATGTAGCCGCTCCATGGCGTCCAGCCGTGGTATCAATTCTAGATTTGTTGTATGATGTCGTGGCATTATCCGTCGATTGTCTTGACTCATTTGTTGTTGTTGTAGTGGTGGTAGAGGAGGAGTTGGAGCTGAATGTTGAATGTTAGAGAAAAGAAGTTTTTTGTTGGTGATTCATTTCAGTTTCAATGATTTTGAAAACAAAAACAGAGAGAAGGAGGATTTTTTTTCTTTTCAATCAATTTGTTGTTTTTGGTGGGGAGAGAGGCAGGGTTTTTTCTTTTGCGAAATATTAGCTATAGCTTTTTTGGTTATTCTTTTTTAATATAAAATAATAATATGAAATAATAATACTTATGAGTTGTGCATGATTGAAATTATGATGACGGGCGGTCTAATGATGAGAAGAATAACGAAAATGAAAACTAAAATCGAAATAAATTAATTAAAAATAAAAAAAAAAAAAAATAATAGAAAAAATCTAAATTAATTTTTAAAAAATATTCTGCCTACCTCAGAGTTTTTGAGTATTTCAATATTTTTTATGTATATGATGATGTGGATTGAGGGCAAGGCAATTTATTAGTTTTTATTGTGATGAGAGTTGGATGAACTATTTTTTGTTTGTTTGTTATCGATCGATTAGAGCTTAATTTGTAATTAGTGTTATAAGTCTAGACAACTTGCTAGTAGTAGTGGTCGAGGTGTTTTTATTTTGCTTGGCATTCGTTTTGTTTTGCTTAAAACATATAAAGAGGATTGGTTTTTTTGTTTTTCAATAAGAGATCGCTAGCTTTGGAGAAGGTTTAGTTTTTTGCTTTTGTAAATTGTTAATGCTTTTTTCGTTATATCATTTCATTTCGTTAGTAGTGTCTTTTTTGGGTTAACAACATTCACACATTGCATTTGGAATGGAATTTAATAATCATTATATCTGCAAAAAGATTGAATATTCAAAGAAAAAATACATATTTTGATTTTTAATATATATATAGTATTTGCAATGTAAAATAAGAAAGAGTTCTAAACATTAGGGGGAAACAAAGATTGAGAGTCATAAACAAAAAACAAACCAAAAGGAAATGAACAAAAAGAAAGAAACGAAAAATAACTAAAAGGGCTAAAAGGTCGTAGATATTACCGACCAAGAATTATACTCCACACCACAGTTAAAAATTTTTTGGGGATTTCTAAATTGAAAACGGTTTTCTAAAAATAAAATTTGTAGACTGTTGGGCTAAACGTGTCTGGGCATTTTTTTCAATTTAAAAGCTCTATATTTTGAGGAATTTATAAAGTCGAAATGTAGAGCAAATGTAGTAGATGTCCCATCCTCAAGCGACTTCGGAAGCAAATACGATATTTGATTACAAAATTGAATAAATATGGAATCGATATTTTCTACATGGTTTTGGAATAGTGAGTTGTAACTGATGTCCAAGATAAATTCCGATCATCAGTAGGCCTATTCTGTAACTTTAAACAACATTTCAACAATATTGTTTAAATTTCTTTTGTTATTGTAAAAACAATAAAACAAACAAATGAAATTGTTGTAAAATAAACAATATCGAATGTTGCTAAAAAGATATATTCAGATCATCAGATGTGTTATTCGTTACTAATTGAACTCAATATTGTATTATTTTAATTCGAAGCCTTATTGAACACTGGCAATAATCTATACTAGATCAGGTCTCCACCGACATAAAGTTCAAACTGCTACGTCAGAAATATTGAATTAATTAGATATCTAATTTTTAACCCGGTTGAAGGAGAAGCCATCTTTTTGGAATACTAAGATGTAACTGATTTCCAAGATAAATTCTTTTTTGACACCCATCAGATGTGTTCTTCGTTATTTATTGAATTCAATATTGTGTTATTTTAATTAAAAGCCTTATTCAACACCAGCTAGAATAGACATAAAATTAATACAATAAAATTAATTTTATTGAAATATTTACCCTCTATACCACATGGGAAAGGCTGTATCATTTGCAAAATTTACTGATTTTTAATGGCATGTGGATTTATAAATGCTATCCCTGAGTCTTCTCTAAATGCTGCTAATTTGAATTATTCAGTTTCCTAACTGCAGTACGAAATGTCTGTGGTGTAGAGTACATATATTTATGGAGGACAGACCACACATCCTATAGAGCATTGGCTACACTCATGACAAATACAATAAATTACATAAAAAACTAATGAGAAACTCAATTGCTGTTGGTTAAAACTTGATTTTGTTTTTGGCCGTCAAAAAAAAAAAAAATATTTAAAAAAACTTTACACATATCAATAATAACAAATGTTAATGAAGCATATAGCTGTTTTTTAGTTTTTTTTCTGGACTAATTACAAAATGAACATTATTTCATTCTACAAAAAAATGTATACAACAAAAACAAAAAATCTCATAAATAAACATTAAATTTGACTTACCTATTTTGATGTGATGATGGTGGTTGTTGTGGTGGTGCAGGTAATGCTGGCAAGTATCTACGTTGATGTGATCCCGAAGACGACGACGATGGTCTCTGGTGTGGATGACTGATGTGAGGTGCAGCAGCTCCCGTTGTTTCAATAACCTCATCATCGTCATCATCATCCAACGGTTCGATGGTCAAGGTCTGTTGATGTGGTGGCACAACACCGGGTATACCACCAATTGCCCTGTGTCCACCACCCATACGACCACCACTTGCCTTAGTGGTGAATTCACGATCAAAATCTTCCGCTTCATCTTCATCAAGATTTATAAATTCTTGACGTTCCTCCAGTTGACCGGAACGTATATCCTGTTCCTTTTCAATAATGTGTGCTCGTTCGCCGATATGATGACCAATAGCCATTTTCTTAACACCATTCACTGAATCCTGTACGGTGCGACGTGTTTCACGTATGCCACCGGGACCGGTTTTAGTACTGCTAGTAGCTTGATAGATTTGTGGTCGTCCATCAGGGCCGGAGGACATGGTGATGACGGAGCTGGAACAGAATGAGGCGCCACCATTGTTGCCAATATCTGTAACAAAGAGGAGGTGGATAATTTTAAGATTTCTATTTTTTTGTATTTAAGAATAGTTTTTGAAACTTACCTGCACTTAGCAAACGATTCATATTGGGCATCATCATTGGTCCCATGGCTGGGAAACCGAATAGACCACCCATTGCTGGTCCATTTTGTCTTTCCATTAAGGCATTCTGCTGAAAGCCAGGATCGAATGGTGTCAACATATTAAATGGATCGGGCATCAGGGAATTCATTAGCCGATTCATGGAACGCATTTGCATGTTCATGGCATTCATGTGGCTTCTAGAGGAAGAAAATATTACAAAAATAATTATTAATAAAATGTTTAGGAATTAAATGTGTAATAAAAATCAATGAAGTTTAAAATTGTGGATAAAAAAGTTATTTATAGTGGTCTATGAGATATCTTCATAGACGTCTATGAAGAAGTCTTTAAAGGGGCTATGAAAAAGTCTTCATAGAGGTGTATGAAGAAGACATTGGAGAGGTCTATGAGGAATTATTCATAGACCACTATAAAAAAGACTTCATAAAGACATATGTGGAAGTCTACATAAAGGCTCGAAATTTTAATGATACAGATTGAACGTGTTTTGACATAGAGACCACATACAGACCACGCTCCATTTTATGAATTTAGTTGACCCTACCTACCCCAATTCGCAGTAATTTCGCATTCCAGATTCTTCATGGTGGATAAAAAAAACTTCTTCGTAAAAAATATATAACATATGTTCTAACATAGAATCCATATACATATACTACCTCCCAAATTAAAATAAAATCTTGATGGTCCTAGTCGGATTATCTACCCGAATTTTTTGTAATTTGGTATTCCGTCTTCTTGGTGAATAAACAACTTATTCACAGAATATTTTCAATGTGGGTCCATGTTTTGAAATAACACCCTGATGAAGGATCGTCACACCTTTCGATATGCTAATGATTCTAGGCGCATTTTTTTATAAATAAAAAACATAATTCCCCAGGAAATTCCCCCATATGTCCCTCTCTTGGTATATGGAGATTCCTTTTTTCACGGTATGTGAAATATCTTCGAGAAATTTTCGGCATGGGTCCGAGTTTAGACATAGGGTGAGGACTTCTTATGAAGACATTTACAAAACGATGTGGGAATACATTTGAAGAATGTTTTTAATTCCAATGGCTCATAAATTAAAAAAAATGCAGAAGACTTAATTTTTCCCCAAGCATGAAATCGGAAATTATTTTGAAAATGTTTTAAAACGCTCATGGAATAACTCTTTTCACATTTTGGGAAATTCGTTCATTTTCTGAGGGTAGTTTTTTTTCAAAATTTCACAATAATTTGCAAATTCCATCTTTTGGTCTTCCAAGATTTTTTTTAACAATTTTCAATCGTTTTTCTTTTTAATCAAAATTTGTTCTCATTATCATTCAAATCAAATAATTCATCCTTGATGTTGTAAATAAAAAACAATGCAAATTACGAAAATAAAATCTGCACACATTTGTTGTTGGTTTTTTTCGTTACATACTCAACATCATTGAAAAATTCTTGATTTTCTTTATCCATGTTGTAGCTGCTGTCGACATTGGAAGAGACAAAATCTGATTTGTTTGCTGCAGATGAACTATGTCCCCAATTATTTGAATTTTCTTTGTTGCTTCGTTTGAAAAGCATTTTGTGTTTTTTAGTTTTTCTTTCAAAACCGAATTTGATCTCTTCTTTGGCAAAGTTGAATTATAACTGACCCATAAAGCCGAGTTACATGCGTATATATAGTAAAAATTGCGGGTCCGGGAAATTTCTTGAAATTTCGAAACATCGAAGAATTCTAGAAAACGGCCTGCCCTCTATTGATGAAAAGGAAACAAAAAAAAAACACAAAACGAAACAAACAACAACAACTACTGTATAAAGAAGGTTAAGGTAGGGGTGGGGGTGAGAAGGACTTTAGCGAAAAAAAATGTGTAACAGTCATTGATTTACCTTGAAGCCCATGAAGTAAGGGTCAAAATGTAATACCCAAACCCTCAAGCCCCCTACCCACAAAACGTAATGAAAATTCAACATGATACCTCCTCCCTCCCTTTCCCCAACACTGTTGTTTAGCACCAACATCTATCTAATGTGTTGATTGGGTGACGCAGTTTGCATGGTTAGATTTGTTGCTGCATACCATCATCATCATCGTCGTGATTTTTTGTTCCAAAACAATTGATTGACAACAAATTCAATTCAATTTTCACCTGTGTATGCGCTGCTGTTTTCATTTTGGAAAATTTTCAGCAACACACCCCATACATATAACCAAAATCAATTCATTCTACTTTTTTTTCTCACAAATTTTCCTCTTCTCTGCTACACATGCACACACGACATACATACATCACACTGAACAGAGAGTAGAGTAGTTGTCGTAGTAGTAGATATTGGGGCTTTTTACACTTTTTTTCTTCTTCATCTCCTCTTTTTATTTTCCATTTTGCCCACAAAAAGCCTAACTAAATATACACACACACTTACCCGAAGATATCATCATCGAAATCACCCATTAATGAGCCGAATAGCGACATTTTGTCTATTTAATTTTGTACGGTTTTTTGCACACTTGATCTTTTGCAATTATTTGAAAATGGTAGATTTTCAATTTTTTCACAAGTTGTTGTAATTGTTTTTGTTGAGCGTTGTAATATAAATGGTGTATTTTCACTGTTTTTCGCACTCTCAAATGGTTGTGTTTGCTTCTTCGCGTTGATTTCCTAATTATTTTTCCAACAATCGTGCCATATGTTTAAGTAATGGATGTGTGTTTCAATGTTGGCTGCACTGTTTCTGTGTCGTTAGCAGGTGTAGTGGCAACATTGTGCGAGGAAGAAGAAACAGGGAGGGAACGAAAAAATACAACACTGTGTGTGCCGTTGCTTTGACATGGACGTTGATGGTATGATTAAGGGGGGTTCGCACAATGTGAATTATGGTATATAAAGGAAAAATTATGAATTTAATAGATTTAATTAAATAAAACGTGTTAAAACTGAAAGATAAATAATGAAAGCGACAAAATGAATATTTGGGAACATAAGAAGTCAGACTTTCAGGGAGAAAAAGAAAACCGACATTGTATGTGTTTTGATTTTATTGTTGATGGTTTTCTTAAGGGGAGTTCATACTCTGTGATTAATAATGCGTAAAGGAAGAAAATGGAATTAATATTATCTTAATTAATTAAATGATTATAAAACCAACAAATAAATAATTTAAAAAAGAAAATGTATATTTGAATTCGCAAAAAATCAGGACCAGGTCGGCACAATGTCCTGAATATGCTAAAATCTAAATAATTAAAAGTTGTCCAACAAAAGAGTTCATAATATTTAATTAATTGACAATTTTAATTACATGTTTAATTAAAACATCATTGTCTTTTAAATAGTAAAATAAATAAAAAGAAAAACTTGAATTTCAAGGAGAGTTGAATGACAAAAGCCCATAAAGAATTTCAATAGAAAATTTTTGTGGTATTAGACGAGCTTAGGAAACTTTTTTTAAAATGATGTGTTTCAGACGAGCTCAATAAAGTCTATATAGGCGATCAGAAGGGAGTCTTTATATACGAAGTGCAGGGAGTCTCTAAATACGAACTGAAGGGAGTACATTCTCCAATGCCGATCCTATGGATTTATGACTAGGATTTACTTGACTTTACGCCATGGTAATCACATTTGAAATCGAGCGGATTTCTTAGCCCAAACTATTAAAAAGTCCCAGATTTTTAAATGTACCAAAAGTTTTATTCTATGTTACTTCCATCACCATTCAAAGTTCTCCTTAAAAAAATAAAAACTCATAAAAAATACGTTTCAAAATTCAGCAAACAATAATTTTATTTCAAATATTTAATAAGAAAAATAAAATTTTGTTTAAGCCAAATTATCTTCAATCCATGATCTCAATTCAGCAACATTGCTGTAGACACCGGAGAATTCAGCACGAGCACAGCCAACACCCCATGAAACAATACCGACCAATTCACCGTTGGCAACCAATGGACCACCGGAATCACCTTGGCAAGCATCCTTACCGCCATTTTCAACAGCAGCGCACAACATGGCGTTGGTGATTTCATTGATACCGGCATATTGGTTAGCGCAGACACCTCTGTCGACAATCAAAACTTCGACCTTTTGCAAAATGGAAGCAGAAGCACCATCTTCCTCCACAGCACCCCAACCGCTGACAACAGCAATGGTGTTTGGTTCAGGTTCAGTGGTGGCCAATGGAATGGGTTGAGCATTGGGACCGAATGGAATATCCGAAGACAAGAAGATCAAGGCAACATCGTTGTTGATAACACCGGAATCGTAGTTTTCGTTCTTGATGATACGTTCAGCAGTGATGACATTGGTATTGCCACCGACACGGGTAACACCATATTGGATACTGTAAACACTGGCGCCCAAGAAACCGAAAATGCAATGAGCAGCAGTTACAACAACGCGGGAGTTATAGATGCTGCCACCGCACATGTGGGAACCCAACATGCGAACGGAAACTTGATAGGGGAATTGTTCAATGGTTGTGTCCTCACCACCAACAACGCGACCATCCAAGTCGGGGGTTACACGTGGCATGATGACACTGCCAAAGGCAGAGGTGGCCATCAAAGCCAATAAAACGAAAGCTGAACGATGCATGTCTTGTCTTGACTAAACGAATTTAGAAACTACATAATTTTGCGGAACATTTTTCCAATTTTATAGAAAATTCTAATTTTAAGTGCCAAATTTTTAAAAATATCATAAATTCTTCTAACTCTTATGTGAATCTATGAAGATCATAAATTTTCGGGGAGAGAAATGATAAAGGCTAAACCTTATCGGTGTTTGCGGCTGGTCAATGTTTTGTTCTTCTTTTGGCAGTGATTTGTAATGTTTCATTTGATCGTGACGACGTTGCGTGACCAATAACTATCAGATAACGATTCTGTTATCTCACTAAAGCGTGTGCCTGCTCCAATTGGGGATTTGTTATTTAAATTTTGTTGATTTATTACATTTGGAGGAGGATTTTGTTATGTAATCGAATGTTTTATTGTGGAATGGATGAGAACCTCTAAAGTGAGGATATCAATTAATTGATATCTGAAAAATAAGCTAACACCGGTTCCATATTGTCAGTTATCCATTACCTTCAATAGGTTACTGGCTTTTCCTTTGGTTATCCCATCAGGTTCTGACTCACTGACATGAACTGCGGCTCTCAGACTGGCCTAACGTCATTTCCAGCTTGTCAGACCATTGATTGAGTTGCCTACTTTTCAACAAATTAGTGATATCTAGTAAACGGCAAATAATGGTGCCCAATTAATGGTATCCTTCTCAAAACATTAAAGGGGAAACAATGGCGCCCAATGAATGGTCTGAGTAAACATAATTTAATTAAGCCTTTATTGGTTATTCTTTTGCCCGACGATAGGGTTGTCAAGTAAATGACAAACAATGGCGCCCAATTAGTGGATTGGGTCTTGCTTTTACCCTCCTATAAGTCCCGACTGCGGGCCACAAACTGGCTTAACGTTAGTACCAACTATTAGGTTTCTACTCACTGACGAGAACTGCAGCCCATAGCTGAGCTGACGCCGAGTCCGCCAGTATGTTCGCTCCTTTTCAAAACGTTAGGGATACCTTGTAAAGGATAAACAATGGCGCCCAATTGATAGTCTGTGTAAACATAGTTTAATGTATATCTTATAAAGCGTTTTTGGTTTTTCTCTCGTCCATTCTATCAGGTTCCGACTCACTGACAAGAATGGCTGGCTGAAGGTTGGGCTAACACCTGTTAAATATTATCAGATAACCAACACTTTTGTAGTTCACAAGAAAGTGGAAGTAACATTGTCAACTAGCCAGAATCTTAGTTACAAATGACCTATGGATGATATGCTTTCGGGTAATTGGTTCAATAGTTCATAGCCTTTTTAGAAAATTCATTTTTGAACTTCAGGATAATGATTGTCAAGGTAATTTTTATAAAAATAGATATTTTACTTTTCATAAAAATCCAATATGTATATTTTAGCTCTCCAATTGGGTCCTCAATTGATGATCAGCGAATTCATTTCAGAATATTCCAGTCATGATATTCTTTTAAGGTAATTGACCTAATAGTTCATCTTCTTTTCGTTAAACTACCCAGATTTTACGACAATTATTTATTAGCTGTGATATCACTGATAACTACCGACAGATAGTAATGTAAAAATAAAATCGATAAGAAAATCAACATATTATTTTTATATTCCAATGAAATTTCCAACGAACCTATATTCTCAACTAACTTCAATTTGACCAAACACATAGGAATACGTCATTGCCTTAAGACCACAAATCACAGATATTGAAAGTAAAGTCAAGCAGAAAATATTGGCGAACTTTTTTCTGCTGATAAGATGTATGTACATATATGCCTCAACATCTGGTATTGTAAATTTAGGGATTTTCAAGTATTCAGATTTATGATGTTTTTAGAAAAATTTGCAAACAAGTTCTACTGAATGCAAGATACTATAAAATGTAGAGAAATTTCGACGAACAAGTGTAGTTTCGAGAAATCACTTCCGAAGACAACATGTATCGCTCTGCTTTCGTTTTATTGGCTTTGATGGCCACCTCTGCCTTTGGCAGTGTCTTCAACCCACGTTTGATCCCCGCCTTGGATGGTCGCGTTGTTGGTGGTGAGGACACAACCATTGAACAATTCCCCTATCAAGTTTCCGTTCGCATGTTGGGTTCCCACATGTGTGGTGGCAGCATCTATAACTCCCGCGTTGTCGTAACTGCTGCTCATTGCATTTTCGGTTTCTTGGGCGCCAGTGCCTACAGTATCCAATATGGTGTTACCCGTGTCGGTGGCAATACCAATGTCATCACCGCTGAACGTATCATCAAAAACGAAAACTACGATTCCGGTGTCATCAACAACGATGTTGCTTTGATCTTCTTGTCTTCGGATATTCCATTCGGTCCCACTGCTCAACCCATTCCATTGGCCACCACTGAACCTGAACCAAACACCATAGCTGTTGTCAGCGGTTGGGGTGCTGTCCAGGAAGATGGTGCTTCTGCTTCCATTTTGCAAAAGGTCGAAGTTTTGGTTGTCGACAGAGGTGTCTGCGCTAACCAATATGCCGGTATCAATGAAATCACCAATGCCATGTTGTGCGCTGCTGTTGAAAATGGCGGTAAGGACGCTTGCCAAGGTGATTCCGGTGGCCCATTGGTTGCCAACGGTGAATTGGTTGGTATTGTTTCCTGGGGTGTTGGCTGTGCTCGTGCTGAATTCTCCGGTGTCTACAGCAATGTTGCTGAACTGAGATCATGGATTGAAGATAATTTGGCTTAAATTGAAAGTTGTTTGAAATGAAATAATAAATGTTGTTTGCGAAATAATAAAAAAAATATATATCCGATTATTCTAAATTCTCAATATAGTGATTATGTTCAGACACATTTAATAGTGTGTATCGCACTTCATGTATTTGAAAACTGGGCATGCAAACAGGAAGTGATCCATCCAACATACAACCCTGGGTATTATTATTAGCCGTTGGCAACACTTCAGCAGCTGTAAGGTTATAAGTATGGCACAATAAATAGGTAGTCCATTTAGGTCAACTGATACCTCGATCAACTTATTCACCTTATTTTTGCATCATGGTTATAACATGATGTAATAACAAGGTGATGTATGAAAACAAAAGCCTTTGTTTTTGTCTCGACCATCTGCCAAACTTTTTCTTGTAAAATTTAACATGGTTGGCAACATGGCACATCGAATTCAAGTAGAAATTACGCACTTTGACAGTTAATCGAGTCATCAGCTGCCTACCTATTTATTGTGCCATGGTTATAAGTGCGTTTAGGCTGCGAAGTCCATTCGACTAAAAATTTCAATTGCATAGTGTATACGTCAAGTAAATCCTATTCGGAAATCCCGTGCATTATATGTGACCTATGGAATTGATATTTGTGATCGAGCGGATTTTGTAAATATAAATTAAGGCTACGTTTACATTGACAATGATTTTTAGGTTTTCATTGATCATTTGTCAAATTAATGACATATTTAGGGTACTAGTATATCCTTCGTTTTATGGGGTGCACATTTCCTTATTTTTTTCGGCCAAATGTACTTACGATATTGTTTATTTTTATTCAGCACTAATGACTTGTCAATTCCCTCATACGCTATCGCATTTTGTAATTTAATACGAAAATTTTGATTGGGAATTTACTCTTATCGTTTATACTTATACTTGTCTGGACTAATAAGAGGGAGACACTACTCTAATATTAATCAGATACCTGATTAGTGTCGGACAAAGTTTATTCGTCACAAAATGCAAACATCATGACTAAATATGATGAGAAAGGGGGTTTCTAGGTAACACAAATTAGTCATTACCAGAAAATTAAAATTATTTCTTTTTGACACGCGTAAAATTTCGATTATCTTAAGATACGAGGAAAATAAAACGACACAGGAATTTCATAACTTGAAAACATAAATAAAAAATCTCAAATAACAACAAAAAATATCGTAAATTATATCAAAACTAGGATATATAAACATAAAAAGTTTTTGGCAGAAGTGATATTTATAACCTCATTCCGAACGATATAATTTCCCATAATTACTCGCAATTTCCATCATATATTCATAGTAATTTATTGGGCGTTCTGTACCTTGGTTTATGTATAATTTTGATCTAATAATGACCCATTAAATATTTTTATCGCTTTCGATAATATTTTATTGGATAATTTTATTCCTATGTGTTATTTTTTCTATCTGCCTAATAATTAGTTTGGCTTTTCTTATCGATTTAGGGGCTTCATTTACGACACCCTGACGAAGAAAGGCTACCGAAAAATTATCATTTATAATGGATATAAACCGGAATTTATTGGCCATATGTTTTTTCTGCTAATGCGTAAATTGATTCGCCACCCCGAGACGAGGATAGTTTGAGAAGTTGGAAAAATGTAAATTAATGCAAAGTTATAGTTCAGTTTAGGGAAATATACGGTAACTTTAATAGAGTCAGATATGATTAAGAAGATATTTTTATATGGACATAGGTTAGTTAGGGTCTTTTCTAAATACTTTAAACATAAATTGAATTGTCATATCTTCTTGTCATATTCAAAATTATATTAACAGATTTAAAGATTTCATCCTTGGCGTATTTTAAGATAAAAATCCACAACAAATTCAATTATTAGAAAAATAAATGTTCAAGTAACAAAGTATTGTGTGTTTGAGATTATGCTAAGCAAGATTGAACTAAATAGTACATAAGATAAAATATTTGACAATAAAAGCAGAATTTATACAGCTTCCGAAGTGAAAGGTTGACTGTTTTCTATTCAGGCCCATAAATGTCTTCTAACCCAAATCTATTCGATGTATGTACTTTAAAATAAATGCATGTCCAGTTTTATGGATCTAGCTAAGGCCTAGAGTTAAGGAAATATATTATGCATAAAAAGAGAGTTCTTCGAAACTATCAACGAGTTAGGAAACAAATGATACATTTGAATCACTGAGGCAAATATCCCGCATCCTTAGCACCATTTCAACAATGGCGCCCAACATTAGTGTTTGCAATGACACCCGCATATTGGTTAGCGTATACACGTCTGTCGTCATACAAAACTTCCACCTTTTGCAAAATGGAAGCAGCAGCACCATCTTCCTTGACAGCACCCCAATCGCTGACATCAGCAATGGTGATTGGTTCAGTGGTGCCAACGGAACAGGTTGAGCAGTGAGATCGAATGGAATATCCGAAGACAAAGAAGATCAAGGCAACATCATTGTTAATAACACCGGAATCGTAGTTTTCATTCTTGATAATACGATCCACCAACACTGGTAACACCATCAAAAATGAAATCAGCCGCAATTACAGCGACCCGGGATTTGTAGGTGTCACCACCGCATATGGAGTAAAACAAAAGAGTGTACCAAGATTTCATGGGGGAATTGTTCGATGATTGTGTCCTCACAACGATCAACACGGAAACTGACATGAAGATCAAGGTAATATCATTGTAAATATCAGCAGTATAGTAGTTTTTGTTCTTATTGAAACGTTCACCAACCTTGGGAACATCATTTTAGATACGAGAGAAAATGGCGCCCAACAAAATGAAAATATAATAGACAGCAGTTACAACAACTCTGGAGTTTTAGATGCTACAAACGCACATGTGATGGAGATGGTCAATTGCCTTCCTAAAGCGGTTCGATGTTTTACGGTCCGCTCCGCAAAAGGAACTAGGTAATTTTCACCAGTTTCCAAAGTTTATTTTAGTTTGGAATAGTTCAGAGTAGTTCCTTTTACGGAATAGATCATTTGAACTAGTCCGTTTCGGAAGGATTCAATCCTGAAGTGATGGTTCGTTGAACGGAGAGATCTAGATTAACAATTGAATCTCAAGGAACTAGGAGTACCTAACTGAGCTACTGGAGCAATACGAACCTAGCACCGATCGTTCCGTTTGAACTAGTTCGCTCCAAAAAGACCCAACTTTAATTTTTCCATTGCCGCATGTGGTACGTTTGATTTAGATTATATGGGTCGTGATGTGGGCGGTGAGTGTCTTGTATAAAGGAGAGATAACTTAGGCATCTATTGTTGTATACAGTCCACATGAGGTAAGACCTTTTTCTTGTATAACGTTAAAATATGATATAGATTTTCTCAGTACTAAAGTAGTTCGATGCGCACAAGGATTGGTTAATTTGGACGGTAGGATCTAAATGAACGATTGGATCAAAAGGAACTACGTGGTGAACGAGAGTAAAAAAGAACGACGAAGCAAAAGGAACTAGATGAACGAAGGAACCGATTCTAGTACCGATCGTTCCTTTTGCGGAATAGTTCCTTTGAAGTAGTTCGTTTTGCGATCAACCAAACTCTAATCTTTCCATGGTATGATTGAATTTGATTATAAGGGGAGATCTGGGCTTCTAGAAAGGAAACATCATTTAGTTAAACATGAATCTATTTTTGCACCGGACATAATACCTCCTTCTTCTTGTAATATCAATAAATTAGTGTCTGAATGCAGATAGACTTATTATCTATATAGGGTACGAATTTATATTATAAACTATTTTGAAGTCTAAGTAATATCTAATATATTAAGTAGCTAAAATTCGATATTATTTTTAAGGTTTCCTGTGCTTCGAGATAGTCTTTGTAGCTAAATTCGACTTTATTTTCATTCTCTAGAAAAAAGTGTGGCCAAATTTAAGAGTACATTTGAGATTTGCATGATCGCAAATTTTTCTTCGAACTATTCCTACCTCAAATTCATATGTTTACAATTATTCACCTTCCCCTCTATTTTGTGTTGATTGATAAAAAATACTTTTGAATAACAATTAAAAAAGAAATTACCTATAATTTTTTTAAACAACAACAAATTGCCAACCACAAAATTATGATTATCCAGAATTATAAAGTGATAATAATAAAAAAACAAAGTGGCTGCCAAATATTTTGCGCTATATAAGAGACATTTGATAAAACCCACAAGTCATTAATCATAACAACGCGAAAATGTTAGGACATAACAAACTACTCTTGGCTGTGGTTCTGACGACGGTCATTACACTAATCACGCCAATTCAATCCTCAGTTATACCTCCCAAACTCAGCGGTGGTCGTATCAAAGAAGGACACATTGTTGGTGGTATTGAATCGGATATTACACAAACTCCCTATCAAGTTTCCGTGCGTTTGGATACCAGTGTTCTGTTGCACATTTGCGGAGGTGCCATTTATTCTCCACGTGTCATCATAACCGCTGCCCATTGCATTAAAGGACGTTTTGCCTCAAATATCCGCATTGTTGCTGGCACTTCATCCATTGTCGATGATGATCCTGGTCATCGGGTGATTAAGCTAATTTATCATCCTGGATATAATAAGAAGACCCATGTCAATGATGTCGGATTGATTATCTTGGCAGATCCTTTGGAATATTCCAAGACGGTACAACCAATACCATTGGCCGCTAAGAGACCTGAATCGGGTAATACTGCCATCATCAGTGGTTGGGGTAAAAAAGATGAATCGGCCACAACGATGACAAATCACCTGCAAATGGCTGAAGTGGAAATTGTTGATCGCGAATATTGTGGCAGTCAATATGCCAGTCGTAGCTACGATATTACCGAAGAAATGATTTGTGCCGGTACAGAGGATTCCAGTAAGGATGCCTGCCAAGGTGATTCGGGTGGCCCATTGGTGGTTGATGGTAAATTGTCGGGTATTGTTTCATGGGGTATTGGTTGTGCTCGTGAAGGTTTCCCTGGAGTTTATGCTAGTGTGGCGTATCATACCCAATGGATTTTGGATAATGCTCAGCCCTATTTGTGAGGTGTGTGGAGATGAGAGAATAAAATGATGCTCGTACGATGTGGAACTGAATGAACAAATTTTTGAACTTAAGCCAACAAAATGAACAAATTTTTGCCTTACATAAATTATATTTTAATTACATATTTAAACCTTGTATATATATTTATATTTTGAAAAAATTAATAAAAAATATTGAATGCAAATGCAAAAATGGAGGAGTGCATTTCAATCCTGCGAAATTATTATAACAGCCAATCAGAAATTTGTATTCCTGGTTGATATATTGAACGAGAAGATCTAGAGGAACGATTGGATCAAAAGGAACTAAGTGAACGAGAGCAAAAAGAAACGACTGGAGCAAAAGGAAATATATGATCGGTTCTTCGCCCAGTTCTTTAGGGCATGGAACCGATCGTTCCTTTTAGAGAATAGTTCTTTTGAACTACTTTGTCAAATTCAATCTTGAAGCGTTTCACTCTTTTACGGACCAGAAAATATATTCCACATAGCGAAAACATATTTTCTCGTAATAAATATGGTGAATATCTTTCTGTGGGTCTCTTGTGTAGAGGAGAGAGAGAGAGAATTTTATTAAACAGGGATCTATTTTTGTATGCAGGCCACATGAGATAAGACCATCTTCTTGTATAAGGCCATATATGCTAAAATGATATAAAATTTGTTCTAGAGTTGGTCAAATTCAATCCCGAAGCGTTTCGCTCTTTTTCCGACCTGAAAATATAGTCCACATAGCGAACACAAATTTTTGCGTAATAAATATAGTGAATATCTTTCTGTGTGTAGAGGAGAGAGAATTTAGTTAAACAGGGATCTATTTTTTATATGAAGACCACTTGAGATCTGCTCTTTTTCGGCTGGGAAAATATAGTCGACTTAACGAACACATATTTTCTTATAATAAAGTGTTCGATAAAAATTGATCTATTTTTGTATGCAGCCCACTTTTATACTTCTTTTATAAAAGGATATATGTTCCAAAATTGAATGAACCATTGGATCCAAAGGAATAAGGTGACCCAGATGAATGTAAGAACGGAACTAGTAATTATAGTAAATGCCCTGCTGTGGGGTTTCCATATAAGTGAGAGATAACTTATTTATGTAGGGTTCTATTTTGGTATACCGTCCACTTGAGATAAGACCTTCTTCTTCTAATGAAGCGGTTTGCTCCTCATAAGAAAGGACCTGAGTCAACGAGAGCTAAAAAGGAACGGCTGAAGCATATCGGACAAGATGAACGAAAGAACGGACCTAGTAATGATCGTTTCTTTTGTGGAAGAGTTCCTTTGAACAAGTTCGTTCCGCAATCGCCCAAATCAACGTTTTCCATTGCCACATATATTATGTTTGAGTCAGATTATGGGCTATACTCTTTTCTGGGGATCTCTTGTATAGAGGAAAGAGAAAATTTAGTAAAGCATGCATCTATTTTTGTATACTGTCCACCAGAGATACGAATTTTGTGTTGTAGAAGGTTATATATGTTAAAAGGAGATATGATTTTCTCTAGAGTTGCAAAATCTCAATCCTGAATTGGTTCGCTCCGCAAAAGGACTGGTATGTGTCAGTTAATGGGTCTTAAACCTATCTATAAAGACTCCTTGCGTTTCAGTTAATCTATAAAGACTTCGTGTTCTTCAACTCTCTTATGTTTGTGGAAACCATATTCTTCAGCTTGTTTATAAGTATTCTATGGCCTACAGTTTGTCTCCCTTCAGCTCGCCAATAAAGGCTCAAACAGCTCATATATTAAGGCTGCCTTCAGCCCTCCTATGAAGACAACCTTCAGCTTGCCTACAAAACTTCAGTACGCCTATAAAGAAATTATTGTATACGTGGCCTGGAGATAGTCTTTGCAGCCCAACTTGACCGTTTTTTTTCAAACCTAAAGTCAAAAATGTGGATTTTATTTATGTAGGTTTTCATAATGCAAGTCACTTTACAATAACGGATTTTGATAGTAAACTTGAGAGGTCACTGATATCTCCCTGTATGATCTTATTATCTGACCTTGATTAATACCATCATCTTCTGTTTTTTCCGAAATCTCAATTAAATTAGAAATCTTACTTTAAATTAATTTTAAGGACTTCTTGGTTCCATACTTTCCTTACCAGGCCTCTGAATATACAGTAAGTTTTGATTCAGGACCTAGAAAATAATTCTCAATGAAAATTTCATTGATTTTATTAATTAATTTGTGATTGCCTTGTGTAAACTCAGTGATACACTTCATTACCTTGGGTTTGTTCATTTAACGCCTAAAAGTACTCTTTACAAATGTTCACCGCAATGAAAGCGATGGGAATTTATTAGTAGGCACTCGAGAAATAAAGGAAAATTAAATTAAAAAAACTTGTTTATTTGTTGTTGTAAATAAAAAAAAAATAAAAATCGACCAAAATATGCGAACAAAATTTTAGTATGAAAAAGGTCTTTTTAGAATGGACGCAAAATGTCCAATATTTGCTATGAATGAATAAAACCCGTTCTTTATATGCAGCTAAAAATCTGACCAAAAAGCCCAATTTTTGGTATGAATATGAATAAAACTCTTTCTTTAGGTACAGCTATAAACCGACCAAAATTTTGTTGGTATGACCCAAAAATATAATTTTTTTATATACATCTTTCCGTACCAAATAATAATGAAATCCGACCAAATTTTGTTATTATGACCCAAAATTCTTCAATTTATACCAAAAATTCAGAAGTTTGGGCCAAACAAAAAAAAAAAAAAATTTGGTATGAAGAAACAATAAAAAAATCTGACCATAATGCCCAATTTTTAGTATGAATATGAATAAACCTCTTTCTCTAGGTGCAGCTATAAACCGACCAATACTTTCTTGGTATGACCCAAAAAATATCATTTTTTATATACACCTTTCCGTACCAAATAATAATAAAATCCGACCAAATTTTGTTATTATGACCCAAAATTCTTCAATTTATACCAAAAATTCAGAAGTTTGGGCCAAACAAAAAAATAATTTTGGTCGGTTTTTTTTTTTGTTTTATATAGAAATTGGTAGGTTTATAGCGGTATAATCTGGATTTATTTATTCTTACAAAAACATTTTTTGGTCGAATTTTTTCATTTTATAAATAATTTATTTTAATAATAAATTTGCACTTTATTTACCATATTTTCCAATGTTATCCAAAAAATCCTATCAGACCTCACGTCTGAGTAAAGTCTTGCCAGTAAATCACTAATCAGCCACCTAACATTTGTTTTCCCTGGCCGAAAATCATGCTTCAAGATAAATGATTACGTCTTGATTTATAACCAACGGGAGGAGGTGGTAGTCTAATCGGAAACGAAATCAGCCAAAGATTAATAAATTCCCTTTATGCCGTTAAAACCACTCGCTATAAATACTTCATAATCTTTTTGCAGGCCGTTTAGTGCGAAATCGTGAGTGTGTTCGGTGAAATGTTGAAATATTTCGTATTGTTGTGTGTGGCATTGGTCCTTGTACCCAGCCTCGAGGCTGGCAGCGTTCCCACCGTTCCCATGCTGGATGGTCGCATTGTGGGCGGCAGTGATGCCACTATCGAACAATATCCCCATCAAATCTCGATGCGTTATCGTGGCAGACATCGTTGCGGTGGCAGTGTCTACACCAGCAATATCATCGTTTCGGCTGCCCATTGTGTTGTCGGCGATTTGGATCTGAGCCAATTGACAATTGTTGCTGGTTCCACCTACTTGGATGATGTACAATGGGAGTTGCCTGTGACCAAAATTATTGTCCATGAGAAGTATGGTGGCAATAATGATTATGATGTGGCCATATTGGTGTTGGGTGGCGAATTCCCATTCAACAGTAGAATTCAACCAATTGGCTTGGCTAAGGTTAGACCCGCTGATGGTGCTGAAGTTATTGTTACCGGTTGGGGTACTTTGGTCGAAGGTGGTGATATTCCCAATCAACTGCAACAGGTCACAGTCAATCATGTTGAGCTGAGTGCTTGCAAAAAGAAGTATCCTTTCATGTTGACTCAGCGTATGTTGTGCGCCGGAGTTCCTGAGGGTGGTAAGGATGCCTGCCAAGGTGATTCTGGCGGCCCATTGATTTACAACAATGAATTGTTGGGTGTTGTATCATGGGGTATTGGTTGTGCTCGTAAAACCTTCCCTGGTGTTTATGCTTCGGTGCCTGATCTATATGAATGGATTGAGAACATCACACGTTCGCAAACTGTTGAATATGATTTCTTGTAAACGAAGAGCGGGGGAGTGACGTGAGAGAAGATAATAAAGAAAATTTAATCTATGACTGTGTTTTTATTTTATTGCCTAGCCTTAACAGGTAATATTTTTTGTTTTTGAAATGGGAAGAGAATATCTGATCACTTTAAAAGAAAATATATTCTTCTCTGATGCAGATAATCTAATATGCCTTTAAAAAGAAAATAAAAATGGTAATCTTCTAAAGAAAGTGCTACTTTTCTGTGAAGAGAATCACTAGCTTTTATATTAATCGAATTTTGATAAAGAGGACCTGCTGGGCCAATTGTAAAAGGACATTAGACTTTGTCCTAAAAAAGGGATCTCATTAGATTTCTTCGTTCAAAGTTAGACAAGGCTTCAATAGGTCTAAGGCACAAGACCTCTCTTTGGCAGTAGTTGGTGTGTAAAAAAGCCCAAAAGAGTGCTTCTCTGTTTGCCCCTGGTCAAAGGAGTATTTTCCTGAGGAACTGATATCAATGGGTCCAATAGGTCTTCTGTGTTTCATTCCATATTCATTTTATTTATAAGAGAATCCACTCTGCAAATTTTAAAGCGGAGCAAGAAATTATGATTTTCTAACATTTAGAAGATTATCTCTTCGATCTTCTCTCCAATAGAAATGGGACCATCGATATTTTGCCTTATAGAACTCTACCTAGTAGATATTCTCCATACAGGAAATATATTCTACCCTTAAAAATGCACATACGGGGATTATTTTTGAAGAATTGACCTCTATTATCCGCAAATGTGATCCCATTGAGTCAGTTTAGAAGAGTTGCTAATTCTATACAAGTCAGGATAATAGGAATTTTGATATAGTCTTTATAGAATAGGAATGTTTTCTCTATAGAAGTTGGGCCAAATGATTCCATATAAGACGATGTTATATTTCTCTAAAGAAAATCGTCATTTGGCTCTATCGAGGCCATTGGCTTGTAATAATCGAGGCATTTCGATTAAGTTCTCTGTAGGAGAAGACCAACTTTGCCTTTTATGGCCAACTAGGAAGAGGATCTGCAGGAAATCCTCTCAATAGGAGAGGATCGAATTGGACGATTTATCAATTTTACTAAATAGAAGAGGACCCTTTGGAACTTCTTCTCAATAGGCGAAGTCCCATTAGGCTTTTTCTCTCGATTTGAGAAGACTCACTGGAACTTCGTATGAATATTAGAGGACCCATTGATACATTGTCCCAATAACAGAACCCATCGGGACTTCTTTTTAATAGGAGAGGTTCCTGTTTGGATTTAGTTCGGCTCAAGGTTAAATAAAATGCTGTATTATGATTTCTGATTTTTTATTTTTATTTTCCAATATTTCGACTGTCTTCGACAGTCATCTTCAGGGAAATAGTTTTGAGAGAAGCTACAGGTTTGTTACACCGTCTATGCTAAGGTTCCACTGAAATTCTTATCAATTGGAGACCTAGGATTTCTTGTTAATAGGAAAGGACCCATTCAATAGTGAAGGACCAATAGGGACTTTTTCTCAATTGGAGAAGGCCAATGGGACCTCTTCTCAAGAGAAGAGAACTATCACACCTTGAAAAAAATGAAAAAATATTCCTTTAAAAATCCACGCCTTAGGGCTACATGAAAAATATTTTTTAAAAAATCCACGCCTTAGGGCTACATGAAAAATATTTTTTAAAAAATCCACGCCTTAGGGCTACATGAAAAATATTTTTTAAAAAATCCACGCCTTAGGGCTACATGAAAAATATTTTTTAAAAAATCCACGCCTTAGGGCTACATGAAAAATATTTTTTAAAAAATCCACGCCTTAGGGCTACATGAAAAATATTTTTTAAAAAATCCACGCCTTAGGGCTACATGAAAAATATTTTTTAAAAAATCCACGCCTTAGGGCTACATGAAAAATATTTTTTAAAAAATCCACGCCTTAGGGCTACATGAAAAATATTTTTTAAAAAATCCACGCCTTAGGGCTACATGAAAAATATTTTTTAAAAAATCCACGCCTTAGGGCTACATGAAAAATATTTTTTAAAAAATCCACGCCTTAGGGCTACATGAAAAATATTTTTTAAAAAATCCACGCCTTAGGGCTACATGAAAAATATTTTTTAAAAAATCCACGACTTAGGGCTACATGAAAAATATTTTTTAAAAAATCCACGCCTTAGGGCTACATGAAAAATATTTTTTAAAAAATCCACGCCTTAGGGCTACATGAAAAATATTTTTTAAAAAATCCACGCCTTAGGGCTACATGAAAAATATTTTTTAAAAAATCCACGCCTTAGTGTTACATGAAAAATATTTTTTAAAAAATCCACGCCTTAGGGCTGCACGAAAAATATTTTTTAAAAAATCCACGCCTTAGGGCTACATGAAAAATATTTTTTAAAAAATCCACGCCTTAGGGCTACATGAAAAATATTTTTTAAAAAATCCACGCCTTAGGGCTACATGAAAAATATTTTTTAAAAAATCCACGCCTTAGGGCTACATGAAAAATATTTTTTAAAAAATCCACGCCTTAGGGCTACATGAAAAATATTTTTTAAAAAATCCACGCCTTAGGGCTACATGAAAAATATTTTTTAAAAAATCCACGCCTTAGGGCTACATGAAAAATATTTTTTAAAAAATCCACGCCTTAGGGCTACATGAAAAATATTTTTTAAAAAATCCACGCCTTAGGGCTACATGAAAAATATTTTTTAAAAAATCCACGCCTTAGGGCTACATGAAAAATATTTTTTAAAAAATCCACGCCTTAGGGCTACATGAAAAATATTTTTTAAAAAATCCACGACTTAGGGCTACATGAAAAATATTTTTTAAAAAATCCACGCCTTAGGGCTACATGAAAAATATTTTTTAAAAAATCCACGCCTTAGGGCTACATGAAAAATATTTTTTAAAAAATCCACGCCTTAGGGCTACATGAAAAATATTTTTTAAAAAATCCACGCCTTAGTGTTACATGAAAAATATTTTTTAAAAAATCCACGCCTTAGGGCTACATGAAAAATATTTTTTAAAAAATCCACGCCTTAGGGCTACATGAAAAATATTTTTTAAAAAATCCACGCCTTAGGGCTACATGAAAAATATTTTTTAAAAAATCCACGCCTTAGGGCTACATGAAAAATATTTTTTAAAAAATCCACGCCTTAGGGCTACATGAAAAATATTTTTTAAAAAATCCACGCCTTAGGGCTACATGAAAAATATTTTTTAAAAAATCCACGCCTTAGGGCTACATGAAAAATATTTTTTAAAAAATCCACGCCTTAGGGCTACATGAAAAATATTTTTTAAAAAATCCACGCCTTAGGGCTACATGAAAAATATTTTTTAAAAAATCCACGCCTTAGGGCTACATGAAAAATATTTTTTAAAAAATCCACGACTTAGGGCTACATGAAAAATATTTTTTAAAAAATCCACGCCTTAGGGCTACATGAAAAATATTTTTTAAAAAATCCACGCCTTAGGGCTACATGAAAAATATTTTTTAAAAAATCCACGCCTTAGGGCTACATGAAAAATATTTTTTAAAAAATCCACGCCTTAGTGTTACATGAAAAATATTTTTTAAAAAATCCACGCCTTAGGGCTGCACGAAAAATATTTTTTAAAAAATCCACGCCTTAGGGCTGCATGAAAAATATTTTTTAAAAAATTTACGCCTTAGGGCTACATGAAAAATATTTTTTAAAAAATCCAGGCCTTAGGGCTACATGAAAAATATTTTTTAAAAAATCCACGCCTCAGGGCTACATGAAAAAATATTTCTTTAAAAAATCCACGCCTCAGGGCTACATGAAAAAATATTTTTTAAAAAGTCCACGCCTTAGGGCTACTTGAAAAAAAAAACTTTTTTTTAAATCCTCTTAAATATTTTTTATTAAAAAATATAGTTTATTAAAGTAAAAAAATATATTTTTAATTTGTTTTTTCAAAACTCTTTCTTTATTGTTTTTCTATTATTTTTTATAAGTTTGTCCCACTGTATTTACAAAAATTCAATAGTAATCGTCGAATACTGCTCAATCCATTCCCGTAACATCACAACATTGGTATAAACACCAGGGTTGCCACGGCGAGCACAACCATAACCCCACGAGACAATGCCGACCATTTGGCCCTTAACCAACAAGGGGCTGCCAGCATCACCTTGACAAGTATCAACACCACCTTGCAAATAACCGGCACAAAATTCCCATTCATTGACATTCGTCCAGAAGTAAGCTTCACGACATTCCTTTAAATCCAAAATTGGCACTTCCACCGATTTAAGACCATCATCGAAATTCATTTCAAATTCCGATAATTGACCCCAACCGGCCACCAAACCCTTGGAACCTTTAACGGGTGCTTGCGTGGCCAAAGTGACTGGTTGCAAAAATTGGCTATTAAAAGCGAATTCCATGGTCAAATGGATCAGGGCAATATCAGCTGTCTGATGTTCAACGAAACCCTCCACCAAATACATTTCACCTTCTTGAGTGGTGGCGGAACGTTTATTGGTAGCGGCGACAATGTGGGTACGTTGGGGCACAGCATCCTTAACACACGAACGGGCAGTTATCACCACCTTACTGGAATAAATGGTACCGCTGCAGTAGTGTTCGTAGGCACAGGCATCACAGAAACGGCGACGAATCGACACTTCGAAGGGGAATTGAGTAATGTGCGATGGCATGGGATTTCCCACGACACGTTGAATGTTGGCAGCATCAATGGGTGTGACAAGCTGTAATCCTGCAACAGCCACCAAGGCCAAAAGGCTAATAAAATTTTTCATGTTCAAATTCCACTTCCGCCAACCGTATCGGGACGTCTTTAGTGAAGAAATTTTTACGTTGAACTAAACTTGGAATTTGTGGTTTATTTCCATGTTTTTTCCCCGACTGATTGGTAGTGGCGTTCGGCAGTAAGCCAATTGTTTACTTTGATAACATGTCTAAAATCATATATCACTGAGATAAGAAGTTCGATTTTATATTAGGGTTGTATTGTTCGGTTATCAGATTGAAAACGGTGGCCATTGATTAAGTAATCCCAATATTGGGCAATATTGCCGGATGTTTGTCAAGGAAGTGGGAGAGAAGATGGGAGTTGTTGAAGAGTCAGTGAGAGAGAGAGAGAGAGAGAGAGGGTAGTTAAAGAGGTACATGCGAACCCACTGATCATTCTCCTAACTGAAGGAGGCACGACGGACCATCGTCTTTACAAAGAATAACTGGGACTTCTTCTGCATAAAAAATTATAGGTTGGGACACAATATAGAAAAGGACCTATCAGTATGAGAGGGTCATTTAGGCTTCTTATTAATAGGAGAGGACCCACTGAGACTTTTTCCCGAAGTATTCTTTAAAAAATCCACGCCTTAGGGCTACTTGAAAAAGTCTTCTTTAAAAAATCCACGCCTTAGGGCTACTTGAAAAAGTCTTCTTTAAAAAATCCACGCCTTAGGGCTACTTGAAAAAGTCTTCTTTAAAAAATCCACGCCTTAGGGCTACTTGAAAAAGTCTTCTTTAAAAAATCCACGCCTTAGGGCTACTTGAAAAAGTCTTCTTTAAAAAATCCACGCCTTAGGGCTACTTGAAAAAGTCTTCTTTAAAAAATCCACGCCTTAGGGCTACTTGAAAAAGTCTTCTTTAAAAAATCCACGCCTTAGGGCTACTTGAAAAAGTCTTCTTTAAAAAATGTAAGCTTTGTGTGCTCTTAAAAAAAATATATTTTTATAATTTCCTTAATTACAAATACAAATTTTTATTTATTTTTAAAAAAATATTTATTTAAATAAAAAATCTCCATTTTTTGTTTACAAATTAGCCGATATGGTATCATCCACCCATTTCTTCAAACTTGCCACATAAGTGTAGACACCGGGCAAATTAGGCCGGGCACAACCACGACCCCATGAAACCAAGCCGACAAGTTCCATATTGTAGACCAATGGGCCACCGGTATCACCATGACATGAATCCTTGCCACCACTCAGGTAACCGGCACAAATCATACGTTCCGTTATTTCACCAGCACCATGTAAGCTGCCACATTGATCATTACCCACCACGGGTACTTCGACTTCAGAAAGTCCCTTTGTCGAGGGACCATTCTCTGCTTCATAACCCCAACCGGTAACTGTGACCAAACGTCCATTGGCTGGGCGGGATTCACGTATTTCAATTGGTTTAATCAGAGGATGATTGAAATCGAAGACATCATCGATGATAATCACAGCAATATCATAATCCACAGTCCATTCGGAATAGCTGGCATGATGTATCCATTTCAGGGCAGGATAAGGCATACCATCATAACCCAAGCGGTTATTGGCACCAGCCACAATCATTACCTTTTCTCCGTCCTTAATGTCCACCACACATTGGGCGCCAGTAATAACAGCACGTTTGGAATATATGGCACCGGCACATTTGTGTATATAGGGGTCATTTGGTGTGGATCGGTAGCGTATCGATACCAAATAGGGATGTTTGGCAATATCCACATCACGACCACCAACAATACGGGCTTCGGGTGCGGCACACACCACCGTGGCCAAGACCAATAATAAAATTGTTTTGATCATCATTATTATCCACGGGTCTTCCTTCTCTTCCGAGTTGCTTCTAATAACTAACAATGGAATATTTATTTTTCTAACAATAATGGGGGTATTGATGGACTGGAATGTTATCTGGCGATTCCCGGCTTTTTTATTAGAGTATACGGTGTATTATCGATGTTGGCCAAGGAAATACTCACATAAGTAATTCGTTAATAATAAAAATAAAAAAAAAAAACTTAAACCCCTTTTAAAAAAAACTTGCGGTCAACAGTTGCTATTTTTTATTTTCTAATTTGTACTTTATATTTAGGGGTAATCTAAAAATGTTATGGCCGATTATAAAGATTAGAAGAATTTTGTATTGATTACTCTCCTAATCAATACAAAAAGAAACTCTCATTTCAATATGACAATTTGTTTGTGAGTTAGTAGAGGAGAGAATGGATAAAGAGAGGGAGAAATGTTTGTCTTCATGTCTTTCAAATTCTTTGCGAAATATAATTTTTGCGATTTAATGAATAGTTTTCTGGTTTGCTTTGGGTAACGCCTAAAAGCATGCAACAGAATTAGTAACAAGTCTATTAGTTACTATTGTGAATATTTGTAAGAGAAACCCTGATTGGGGAGGCGTGGATTTTTTGAAGAATATTTTTTCAAGGCCTAGAGAGTCGTGGATTTTTCAAAGAATATTTTTTAAAGCCAAAAAAGGCGTGGATTTTATAAAAGAATATTTCTTTAAGTCATAAAAGAGGCGTGGATTTTTTAAAGAATATTTTTTCTAGCATTACAAGAGGCGTGGATTTTTTAAAGAATATTTTTTCTAGCATTACAAGAGGCGTGGATTTTTTAAAGAATATTTTTTCTAGCCTTAGAAGAGACGTGGATTTTCTAAAGAATATTTTTTCAAGCTCTGAAAGAGGCGTGGATTTTCTAAAAAATATTTTTTCAAGCCTTAAAAGAGGCGTGGATTTTTTAAAGAATATCTTTTCAAGCCTTAAAAGAGGCGTGGATTTTTTAAAGAATATCTTTTCAAGCCTTAAAAGAGGCGTGGATTTTCTAAAAGAATATTTTTTCAAGTCTTAAAAGAGGCGTGGATTTTCTAAAGAATTTTTTTCAAGCCTTAAAAGAGGCGTGGACTTTTTAAAAGAATATTTTTTCAAGCCTTAAAAGAGGCGTGGATTTTCTAAAGAATTTTTTTTCAAGCCTTAAAAGAGGCGTGGATTTTCTAAAGAATTTTTTTCAAGCCTTAAAAGAGGCGTGGATTTTCTAAAGAAATTTTTTCAAGCCTTAAAAGAGGCGTGGATTTTCTAAAGAATTTTTTTTCAAGCCTTAAAAGAGGCGTGGATTTTCTAAAGAATTTTTTTCAAGCCTTAAAAGAGGCGTGGACTTTTTAAAAGAATATTTTTTCAAGCCTTAAAAGAGGCGTGGATTTTCTAAAGAATTTTTTTCAAGCCTTAAAAGAGGCGTGGACTTTTTAAAAGAATATTTTTTCAAGCCTTAAAAGAGGCGTGGATTTTCTAAAGAATTTTTTTTCAAGCCTTAAAAGAGGCGTGGATTTTCTAAAAGAATATTTTTTCAAGCCTTAAAAGAGGCGTGGACTTTTTAAAAGAATATTTTTTCAAGCCTTAAAAGAGGCGTGGATTTTTTCAAGCCTTAGAAGAGGCGTGGATTTTCTAAAGAATATTTTTTTTAAGAATTAGAAGAGGCGTGGATTTTCTAAAGAATATTTTTTTTAAGAATTAGAAGAGGCGTGGATTTTCTAAAGAATATTTTTTTTAAGAATTAGAAGAGGCGTGGATTTTCTAGAGAATATTTTTTTTAAGAATTAGAAGAGGCGTGGATTTTCTAAAGAATATTTTTTCAAGCCTTAGAAAATCAACGCTCGACTGGTCTTTGAAAAAAATAAACCTAAGCATTTCTGGTCCGCTCGACAGGTCTTTGAAAAAAAAATTAAAACCTAGGATTTCTGGTCCGCTCAACTGGTCTTTGAAAAAATTTTTTTAACATAGGCATTTCTGGTTCGCTCGACTGGTCTTTAAAAAAAATTAAAAACCTAGACATATCTGGTTCACTCTACAGAGTTTTGATATTTTTTTTTTTTTTTTTGTTTTCCATCTTCGCTCCAGTGGTCTGTTATATATGGGGTATACTCCCACAGATCTTAAACCTCCCCTAAAATAAATATACATATCTTCGAGATAGAATGAGACTTTAATATTTCTTCTTTATTAAAATTTTTTTTTAAAAATCCATTTACAACTTTTCCACCTCCGTTTCAATCCACTCCTTAAAATGCACCAAATTCGTATAGACTCCAGGATAATCCGCGCTAGCACAATCTCGGCCCCATGACACCAAACCAATGGCAGCATTACGATAGACTAAAGCACCACAAAATGACCGCTTTTAGGCAATATAGGTATAGCACATGTGAATTCGGGAAATGAAAGAGGGGAGGAAGCAGCTACTATGATTAATAAACGTAGTCATATATTACACAGCATCACCATAACAAGCATCAGCATGCTCGCCACCCGAAGCGCATAACATTGCCTCCGATATACGATTTCCACCATAGGCTTTGTGACATTCCTCCTCATCCACTAAAGAAACTTCGGCAACTTGCAACGTGTCCGAATATTCGGCACTGGGATTTGCTACAGTGGTACCCCAACCCGAAACAATTAGAGAACTTCTAGCCTTTGGCAGAGCGTCTGCAATGGCGATGGATGCAATATCCTTGGTCGGGAAGGGTGAAAAATTGAAAGATAATTTCAATAAAGCCAAATCATTGTCATAAAACCAAATATTGTAATCGGGATGTAGGAGATATTTTTCCACCAAAAATATGGAACTGTCGTGGCCGGTGCGATATTTGGATCCCGCCAAAATGTGTAGGTGATTTGGTTCGATGCCAATAATGCAAGTGGCGGTGGTGAGGACAATACTCTCAGAGTAAATGGTTCCCGAGCAACGATGTTCAAATGGCGCGGATTGATTCTTTTTGTAACGCACTGAGACCAAGTGAGGGGTGACAGCTATATTTTCTTCGCTACCTCCTACAATGCGGGACTCCAGGGCGGTGGAAGAGGCAATAATGCCAAGAGATAGCAACAAGTAATACTTCCACATGTTTTTCGTTTGTCTTCTTTTGTTTTTTGTGCTCTAAATGTTAGCAAAACTCCGATTTTGTTTTCGTCACTTTCACACCCAAAATATAACTGCCGAATGATCGGCTATTAATTTAGATTTGACAGAAATATTCGATTAGGTTATTTTGTTTTTGGTTTCTTAAAATATTATCGTATATTAGAGTGTCTTTAGCCAGAGTTATTATCATTATTGTTGTATTTTATGATTACGATATTTTTTTTTGTGCGGACGTCTAATACCACCTTATCGTGGACAGCGATAACATGACGATTAGCAAGAAAAGGGCATAAAATTGAATGTGGTTGTATTTTTTGTTATTGTTCTGTTATTGTTTTTCTTTAGCTAATTTTATTTATGTCTTGACATTCTTAATGTGATTTGACATTTATTGGCCTTAATTAGTCATAGAAAGGGAAATATATTTCATATCGAAAATTTTGAACTTCGTATTGAAAATTTGGATTTTGAACAAAAATAACCAAAGTTCGAAGAATAATATACACTTCAGAATTTATTTCAGGAATATTTTTTATCAGAGGAATTGATTTTGTTTTTGAGACATTGCAGAGGCGTGGATAGTTTTAAGAATATTTTTTCAGGGACTTGTGAAAGCGTAGACTATTGGTCTGTTCCCGTACTACAAGAATCTACTAGTTTTTACTACGATAACGAATTTTTCTTTTATGATATCGAAGAAAATAGAAAAATCGAGTAGAATCTTGCAGTACGGGAACAGGACCATATGTAAATAATAGTTTTCAGGGTATAGAAATGGTGTGGATTTTTTAAAGGAATATTTTTTCAAGGCCTAATAGAGGCGTGGATTTTTCAAAGATTATTTTTTCAAGGCCTAATAGAGGCGTGGATTTTTCAAAGATTATTTTTTCAAGGCCTAATAGAGGCGTGGATTTTTCAAAGATTATTTTTTCAAGGCCTAATAGAGGCGTGGATTTTTCAAAGATTATTTTTTCAAGGCCTAATAGAGGCGTGGATTTTTTAAAGATTATTTTTTCAAGGCCTAATAGAGGCGTGGATTTTTTAAAGATTATTTTTTCAAGGCCTAATAGAGGCGTGGATTTTTTAAAGATTATTTTTTCAAGGCCTAATAGAGGCGTGGATTTTTTAAAGATTATTTTTTCAAGGCCTAATAGAGGCGTGGATTTTTTAAAGATTATTTTTTCAAGGCCTAATAGAGGCGTGGATTTTTTAAAGATTATTTTTTCAAGGCCTAATAGAGGCGTGGATTTTTTAAAGATTATTTTTTCAAGGCCTAATAGAGGCGTGGATTTTTTAAAGATTTTTTTTCAAGGCCTAATAGAGGCGTGGATTTTTCAAAAATTATTTTTTCAAGGCCTAATAGAGGTGTGGATTTTTCAAAGATTATTTTTTCAAGGCCTAATAGAGGCGTGGATTTTTTAAAAATTATTTTTCCAGAAAATGGTCTAGTAAAAAATAAATGTTTTCATTCATGGTACATTAGGGTTAATAATTTTTTGGGAGACATTTAAAAACTATGTATAATTTTTAAGGTTTGTGAGATCGATTATGGACATCCTAAGTAGACAAACACAAATTTTGTACCGTTGAGAAAACGTTTTTATTTTCTTAATCTTGGCCTACGATAGGCAATAAACTTATGATAGGCCTTGAAAATATATATATATTTTTTAAATCCATGCCCATGGACGGTCATAGAAATATTAAAAAAAAATCAAATCTATGATAGACCCCAAAAACATACGCCTCAGCTAACTATGAACCGTTCATTCCATTTATATTGGGACATTTAAGCGTATGACTGTTGTCGATACGTATACGACGCCCTTTATTTGAGTTTATCAAAATGATATAATATTTTGCGATTCATTATATTCTAAAATTTATTATTATTTCTTTTAACTTTTTTTTCATAATTATTTTTTTCGGCACAATCCAATATTTCGAAAATATTCCTCATTGTTTTCTTTGAGTACACTTGGACGTATAATTAATATTGTTATGTATACGTCACCATTGTCATTCACGGAAGTTCGCACCCTTAACATTTTATAAATTAACAAAATATATACACAAAATATTTTTTTTTTGTTTTGTAAATAAAAAATTCCATATTCGATTTGATAAGGTCATGCTGCACCACACATATTATTATCTCTTGTAAATCTCTGACGCGGGCGAATTGATAACAAATCCTTCAAGTAATTTATTACTTTGGCTAGACCGACTGACTTAAGAGATAGTTAGTGAGGGTAGTATAAAAGCTATGAGGCTCACTCAATTGGTCTACAGTCTTATCATAACCTCACCCTTGGATAAACATGAAGTTGTGGATTAACGCTTTGGCAATTTGCCTTTGGGTGACATTAACCTCCTCGGCCTCTTTGCCTTTGGATGGCCGCATTGTGGGTGGCTATGTAGTGGACATTAAGGATTTTTCATATCAAGTTGGATTGCAAAAATTCGATTCGATCTTCTGTGGCGGTACACTGATTTCCAAACGTTTTGTTTTGACTGCTGCTCATTGTACAGCCGATTACTCACCAACTGTTCCTCTGTATAGTGTGAGAATTGGCACTAGTCGAAACGGAAAAGGTGGCCTATTACTGCGACCCGTTAAAGTCCATCAACACGAGAAGTATAATTTATCATATTTGGATTACGATTTTACCCTCTTGGAACTGGAAGATTACGATGAATCGCTGCTGCCTTTTAAACTGACCTATGCTAAATTGCCGCTGGTCAATAAAGATTTACCTGATGGCACTTTGGCAACAATTTCCGGTTGGGGTTTTACCAAAAATCCTGAAGAATCTAATGAAGTTCTACGTGCGGTTGAAGTACCCATCTTTAATCGTGAAGCTTGTGCTGAAATTTTCCCATCGTTGAGTGAACAAATGTTTTGCGCCGGCTACCCGGAGGGTGGTAAGGACTCCTGCCAAGGTGATTCGGGTGGTCCATTGGTCCACAATGGCACTCTGTATGGTGTGGTTTCATGGGGCGTTGGTTGTGCCCTGCCCAATTATCCTGGTGTATATGCTCGTGTCTCGGCTATATTGCCATGGATTGCGGAAAAGACTGGTTTTGAATTGATGTAAGAAGTTATTACGAAGGGAAATAAATGATTTGAAAATGTATGGCAAATGTGGTTTTATTTGAAAAAAAGTGTTCCAGAATGTGAAATTACAAAATATTTGTGGTTATGTTGATCGTATAGGTGTATATGAACTCGTAAAATATTTTATATTTGTTCCAAAATGTTGAATTTAGCCAGATCCAGAGGACAGAATTCGGAGTCAAAAACAAAATTATAATTTGTTACGCATATTGTACTAAATTGAACAAAAATATTTTAAATATTTCAATAGAAAAGTCATGGTTGTGAATATTTGCATGCAAAGGACATCAGAGCGTATGGCCGTTGTTGATGCGCATACAACCCATGGTATCCTTAATTATTTAAGAATTTTATTTTTTTTAATAAACACCTCTAGTAGGACCTGAAATATGTTTTTTTTAATAATCTACGCTCTGTTAGACTTTAAAAAAATATACTTCATAAAATCGACAACTCTGTTAGACCTTGAAAAAATATTTTTTAACAAAATCGACACCTTCAATAGGCCTTTAAAAACAAAATAAAATATCTCTTCAGTATGACTTTAGAAAAAAATATTTTAAAAAATCCATGCCTTTGGTAGATCATGAAAAATACGCCTAAGCTATGTATTGAAAAATATTTAAAAATCTAAGCCTACCTTAAAAAATATTTTTAAAAACTCCATGCCTATGATAGGTCGTTCATTCCATTCATGAGGGAATATTGGAGCGTATGATTGCTGTTAATACGTATACGCCCTTGATTTGAGTGTATAAAACTGGCGTAATAATTTCTGATTCATTATTTTCTACGATTTTTATTATTTTTAAAAATTTTCTGCATAGTTATTATTTGTTCGGCACCATCTAATATTTCGATATTATTACTCATTGCTTTCTTTGAGTACACTTGGACGTATAATTAACGATGTTATGTATACGTCACCATTGTCTGTCATTATCGGGTTTTGCACATTGATTCTCTATGTTCTATAACATTTTTACCAATTAAAAATATATAAATATATACAAAATTTTTGATATGAGCCTTACACAGCACACAGATTATAATCTCTTGCAAATCTCTGGCGCCGGCGACTTGATAACAAATCCTTCAAGTAAAATTATTACCCCTCCTCCCATCATACCAGCCAACTACCTGTTATGATGGGAGGCAGGTAGTATAAAAGCTAAGAAGCTCGAGTAAATATCGCACAGTCTTACCGTAACCTCGCCCCTTGGATTAACATGAAGTTGTGGGTTAACGCTTTGGCAATTTGCCTTTCGGTGGCATTAAGCTCCTCGGCATCTTTGCCCTTGGATGGTCGCATTGTCGGTGGCTATGAAGTGGACATTAAGGATTTTTCCTATCAAGTTGCCTTGCAAAAATTCGATTCGGCCTTCTGTGGCGGTGCACTGATTTCCAAACGTTTTGTTTTAACTGCTGCCCATTGTACAGCCGATTACTCACCAACTGCACCTCTGTATAGTGTGAGAATTGGCACCAGCCAAAACGGAAAGGGTGGTCTATTGCTCCAAACCATTAAAGTCTATCAACATGAGAAATATAATCCCGCATATTACGATTATGATTTTACCATCTTGGAATTGGAAGATTACGACGAGACATTGTTACCGTTTAAATTGACCTATGCCAAATTGCCGCTGACCAAACAAGATTTACCTGAAGGCAACAATTTCCGGCTGGGGTGGTACCAAAAATCCCGATGAATCGAATGCTGTTCTTCGAGCCGTTGAAGTACCCATCTTTAATCGTAAAGCTTGTGCCGAAATTTTCCCTACATTAAGTGAACAAATGTTTTGCGCCGGCTATCCAGAGGGTGGTAAAGATTCTTGTCAGGGTGATTCGGGTGGTCCAATGGTCCATGATGGCATCCTCTATGGTGTGGTGTCATGGGGTGTGGGTTGTGCCCTGCCCAATTATCCTGGTATATATGCTCGTGTCTCGTCTATATTGCCATGGATTGCGGAGAAGACTGGTTTGGAATTGATGTGAGAACTTTTTAAGGGAAGGCAAATAAAAGTATTGAAAATGGAATTACAACAATGTGGTGTGTGATTTTATTTGAAGATTGTCAGAATGTAAAATTAGAAAAAAATCTATAATTTTTTGTGGTCCGGTATATCGGTATACCGTCCGGTATATCGTATACGTGTACATGAACACCTAAAATATTATATATATTATAATTCGGAGCCAAATACAAAATATTGATTTTGAAAGAAAAGGTCAAGATACCGAAGATTTCCATGCAAAGGATATCAGGGCGTATAAGTGTTATCGATGCGCATACAACCCAAGGTACCCTTAATTATTAAAGAAAAGCATCTGAAACATTTTTTTAAATAGGCCTTAAAAATAATATTCTTTTTAATCCAAGCCCTATTAGACTTTGAAAAATATTCTTCATAAAATCGACAACTCTGCTAGGCCTAAAATAAACGCCTATGATAGGCTTTGAAAAATATTTTGTATAACAACCACGCCTATGTTACACCTTGTAACAGTCCACGCCAATGATAGGCCATGCAATTTTTTAAACCTATTCTATAGATGGCAGGTCTTTCTGTAGACATTTTGTTGATTTCTAACGAAGTCCATAAGGGCGTATAACTGTTGTCGACACTTATACGCCCTTTGGTATATTAAATTCTGATATTTGTGGTAAGTTTTTCGGAATAGAAAGAAAGAAAATTCATCAAGGAGGCTATTGCAAGGAGTTTTTTTTCAGAGAATCTGATGTTGTGCTAATTTTTCAATAAAACCTGAGAGATTCGATTTGAAAATTCTTCATGCAGAAAAATTCAAAAAAAGGCTTTAGAAAAATTCATTGATTTTTGATTATTTTGTTAATAGGTCTTGGGGTTGTCTATACAAAGAATTCTGTATACCTGAGGTCTTCGATTTTTGTTCCTCAAAATATTTTCTATAGAAAAAATCTTCAGGAACTTAAAATTTTGCGGTAAACTGACATGTTTTCCTTGAGAGATTTTTTTTTTTTGAAATTCCTCTCCTTTTTCATAACTTCATGCAAATACCCCTACCCTTATTCCCAATATTTAATTATTTCAGATTAAAACATTTTTTTTTTCAAATAATATTCTCAATCATTTATTTCATGCCATTATGTCCAAAAAATGTTCCCCTTCATTTTACTTCCAATCCGGTTTTCTCAGCAATCCATGGCAACACCGAAGTAACTCTCGAATAAACACCAGGATAATTGGGGCGGGCACAACCATAACCCCACGAAACAACACCAACCAAAGTGTCCTTATGGAATAGAGGACCACCGGAATCACCCTGACAGGCATCCTTGCCACCCTCAGTGTAGCCAGCACACAACATACGTTGAGTAATTTCACCAAAACCAAGATAGGCCTGGGCACAGACATCCTGATTGACAAGGGGTACATGGGTAGCACGCAACACACGATTAGATTCGGATGAATTTTGGGTATTGCCCCAACCGGAGACGGTTACCAAGGTGCCATCAGGCAAATCATCGCCACTGCTGCTGGGCAATTTGGCAAATTCCAGCTCAAAGGGTAGCGAACGCAATTCATAGTCTTCCAATTCCAAAATTGAGAAATCATAATCGATATTCATGGGATTGTATTTTTCGTGTTGATGAATTCTCAGGGGTCGGAGAAGGATACCATCCTTGGCGGAGTATGAGGAACCAAGGCGTACCTTAAAACCAGGGTTAACGGCGGAATGGCCGGCGGTGCAATGGGCAGCGGTCAATACAAAACGTTTGGCAATCAAGGAACCACCACAGAAATGGAAACTTCCCTGCAGCGACACTTGGAAGGGTACATCCTTAATGTCCACTTCATGGCCTCCCACAATACGACCATCCAATCGGGGTAAGGGTATATAGGTACCTGCGGAGGTTAATGTCACCAAAAGGCATATTGCCAAAGAGTTCAACCACAACTGCTGGTGTTCCATGTCGATGTTCCCAAGTATCCGGTTACTGTGAAACTGTTTGGAGTTCTTTGGAACTCTGCAGTTTTTATACCATTTGAGGAACTATGCACCACAGTTCTCTTCTAATAAATTACATTGAAGGATTTAATATCGCTGTATGATTACCCAATAGAAGGTTAATCGATGTGTGTTAGTAGAGCAGCTGAATCAGGTGGTTATTCCACCACTTCGATAGCTTCGTCTTCTTGTTACCAACATCAAAATCAGTTCTTGGTCATTTCCAAGATAATGTAAACAAAATTTATGATCACTTCAGGCGTTTACAATGCACTCAACAGAAGTGGTTTCAGGGTTTTTTTTCTAGTGCAATAAAAATACAAGACCCGTGATAGAGTATCGAAAGTGAGAGATTTATCAACAGTCTGGCAACGTAAAATCCATCAATGACCAATCGAATGCATGAGGAACAGGGGAAGATTAGAAGCTCTTGACCCATTTAGGAAATTAAAATGCGGTTAGAATGTTCAGGGCATAATTTTGAAAATGTTCAGAATATTAAAAAACAGTTCGCGCTAAGGTACTATTTTATGTGTAAAAAAGCTAGAGAACTTAATTCCAACTGCGATCAAAGAAATCATAGAGGTCTCAAGTCCATTACAGAAGTTTTTTTTTCTATAGAAAAGACTCACCAAGACCTCAGTTGCCCACTGAAACCATTTATAGGAAAAAATTCATACAGACAGACCTTAGATAGAAAAAATTCCCAGAACTCATATAAAAAATCAGCCCACACTGAGGTATTTTTTTCTTTAAAGAAAAATCTCAATCTGAGGTATTTATTTATGGAAAACACAGAGAACTCTGTTCCCTTAATCTAATATTTTTTAGAAAAAAAAAATCCGAAACCTCAGTTCCCACTCTAAAGTATTTTTTTCCTATAGAAAATAAATCACAGATAGCAGTTTTCTTTGTAGAAACATGAATTACACAGACCTCAGTCCCCACGCTGAGGCTTACTTCTATAGGAAAAAATCAACCAAACCTCTGTCACCACCTTGAAATTCTTTAAAGAAAAAAACATCCAGACCTCAGTTCTCACACTGAGGTATTTTTTCTCTATAAAAAATCTCACACTGAGGCATTCATTTATATAGGAAAGAACCATGTTCCCACAATGAAATCTCCTTTTAGAAAAAAATCTCCGAGTCCTCTGATGTATTTTTTTACTACAGAAAATAAATCGCATAGATCTTAGTTCCTATTCTTCTTTTTATTAAAAACAATTGTAAAAAATCATGTCAGTTTTCAAGAAGCCTGTGGCCTGCGGATTTATTTTCATCACAAAAGCTGAGATCTCAGAGATTTTGCTTTTAAAAATGCTCGAAATATCATGCTAACTTCTATAGATTTTTTGCAACAGAGAATTATTTGATTTTTAACGAAGTTCGTAAGGGCGAATGATTGTTGTCGTCACTTATACGCCGATCGGTATAATGAGAGCCTGAAAAACTCAGAGACGTCAGTTTCCACTCTGACGTATTTTTTCCCATAGAAAATAAATCGCAGAGATCTCAGTTCCTATTCTTCCTTTCAATAAAAAAATAATCTAAAAATCATGTCAGTTTCCAAGAAGACTGTGGCCTTTCTGAGTTATTTTCATCAGAAAATCTGAGATCTCAGATGTTTTACTTTTAAAAATGCTCCAAAGATCATGCTGACTTATATAGATTTTATGCAAATGAAAATTACTTGATTTCTAACGAAGTTCATTAGAGCGTATGATTATTGTCGTCACTTATACGTCGATCGGTATAATGACCTTAGATACTTATAGTGACCTCTTATAAATATTGAATACCTATTTTAAAGTATTTCAGTTTTTAATGTGTTCTTCGGAAGTCAGAGTATATAAACTTCCTAAGATCTTATAATTGTTGTCGTCACTTATACGTCCCTCGGTATAATGATTGAATCTTAAATCTCAGATTTGTTTGCTTCTAAAAATCCTCAGGTTTCTATTTTGGAAATACTGAAGTCTAGAATTGTCCGAATATAATATAGAAGTTGTCTCTTTAAAATCGAAATACTTGAATTTATTATAAATGGTGGTAAGAGCCTTTTTACCACAATGAAATCTTATTTTAGAAAAAAAATCTCCGAGACCTCAGTTTCCACACTGACATGTTTTTTTCCTATAGAAAATAAATCGAAAAGATCGCAGTTCTTTTTCTTCATTTTTATAAAAAAAAATTATGACAGTTTCCAAGAAGCCTGTGACCCTTATGATTTATTTTCATCAGAAAACTGAGATCTCAGATATGTTTGCTTCTAAAAATGCTCGAAAAATTATCCTGATTTTTATAGATTTTTTTGCAATTGGGAGTTATTTGATTTCTAACGAAGTTCATAAGAGCGTATGATTATTGTCGTCACTTATACGTAGATCTTTATAATGGTCTCCTATAAATATTGAAGACCTCTAAAAAAATTTCAGTTTTTAATGTGCTCTTCTGAAGTTAGGGTATCATAATAGGTAGAATTTTTTTTTTCAAGTTTTTTTCAATAGAAAATTATTTCATTTCTATTAAACTTCCAAAGAGCGTATAATTGTTGTCGTCACTTATACGCCCCTCCGTGTATTGAAGGAAACTTAGATCTCAGATTCGTTTGCATCTAGAAAGCCTCAGAATTCGATTTCTATAATTTTTCCAACATAATAAAGAATTTGCAATATTTTTTCCTTATTTATATGGAAAAAGAGGGGTTTTCAGGGGTATATTTTTTAATAGGTCTTCTATTTATAAAATATTGATTTTTTATAGCTGGATAATCTTGTTATTTGCCTCCTGGAAATATCGAAAATCTCTAAAAATGTTTCCCTGTATTTAATGTTTTCTTCTGATGTCGGAAAATCATGCAAGATGAGATTCTATAGATTACAGATTTTTTAGCAATTGAACATTAATTGATTTCTAATGAAGTTCATAAGGACGTATAATTGTTGTCGACACGTATACGTTCGTCGTTAAACTAAAATCTAAATATTTGTATTTTGTTATGAATTGTGATAAGTTTTTCGAATAGAAAAATATATATCCTGATCTCCATAATATTTTTCATACAACGTAAAAGTTTCCCAGTCTTTAGCTTCATACAATGTCAATAGAGCGTATAATTGTTGTCAACGCGTATACGCCCCCTGGCAAATAAAATATACAAATAGAAAAGTCCTAATGGTTTTCATTCCTAAATGGATTATTTTTATCGCATCCAAAAATATTCTCCTTACATAACGAAAATAAAGCCCTAGTTTTCTTAAAAATCTCCAAAGAAAAACACAAGATAATAAAAAAGAAAAAAAAAAAATAAAGCAAGGCAATTTAACAATTTACTGTGTAGTCCATGATTCCCCAAGATAGATGCAATTTGGCACACTTGTTGTGAACGATGTTCGCATTCATCATACCAAATTTTCTTGAAAATGTACAATTCATTGCAATGTTATACAATAAATTCCATTTTTGTTTGTACATAATTCATTATTCATGCAATGTACATGAGAGCGTATAATGGTTGACGGCACATATACGCCACCTGCAAAAGAAAATAAAATATTGTAAAATTCAAAGAACTACTTTTTGGAAACTAATTAAAATATGTTGAAAATAATCTATTATCATTGAGCGATTATAGAAAAGACACAAAACAAAAGGACTTTGATCTGGAAGTTGGTAACTTTTTTTCTATATACATAGTAAGCTGCTTTAATGATCTGTGGATTTATTTCTGCGTTTAATAGACATCTGTAAATTGGTAAACATATTCTGTAGCACATCAATATTATCTGAGCCAATTTTTGTAAGAAAATCTTAAACATTTTTAAAGCTATAAGCATGAATCATTTTATGTAAGCTCATTTGATGACTCACTGGCTAGCCTATGTTTGCTCTAGGCATCTAGAATTTGAAGAACTTGTTGAGTAATAAATAATAACTGACCATACCAATTTTTGGAGAAAACAGTCAATTCATTTCCAAATTATACAATAATTTCCAATTTTGTTTTGGATTTATTTTTCAAAGTACATGAGAGCGTATAATTGTTGCCGTCACGTATACGCTCCCTAAAAGGCAATACAAAAGTATTGTTTTTCAAGGCCCAAAAGTAATTTTGGTTTTTTGAAATAATTATTTTTTTTAAATCCAGGCCTTAGATTGACCTTGAAAAACAAATCCAAGCCTAAAATATATATTTTTTTAAATCCAGGCCTATAGATAAACTTGGGAAGATGGTAGAAATCAAAAAAGGATTGTAGATTTATATTTTTTCGATAACATTAATTTTAAAAGAAAGATTTCTGTGGGAACAAGTCTGCGTATGATTGTTGCCAGCACGTATACGATATTCGGGACAACTTAAAAACTCAAACGGGGCGTATGATTACTGCCAGCAGGTATACGCTACGTACACATTTTCCAAATATGAAAACTGTTTTATATGAGAAAAAATAACACATAATTTTTAATTTAATTAAAATATTTAATTAGTTTATTATAATTTTTCTTATGTTATAAAATATAAATTCATAAAAAAACGTTCTTAAAAATCTCGTTTAAGCATTGGCAGCCACCTTTTCCAAAATCCACGATTTCAAAGTCCAAACATTTGCATAAACACCAGGATATTCTGGTCGGGCACAACCAGCACCCCATGACACCACACCAGCTAATTTATTGCGAATTGTCAACGGGCCACCGGAATCACCTTGGCAGGCATCTTTACCACCAACACCCCGGAGGCCAGCACAAAACATTTTCTCTGTGATGAGGCCACCATAATCATAATTACAATCCTCATGACTGACCACCGGTATCTTTACTTCTTGCAGGTAATGATGTGTAGGACCACCCTCCCAAACGGCACCCCATCCAGTAATTGTAGTTTCTGAACCAGGAGCTGGGGCGTCGTCAATCAATTCAATGGAGCGTATGGTAAAACCGTTTAGCGGCAGAGGTGAGGCCAATACCAAAATGGCAATATCATTGTCATAACGCTCCGGATCATAGTTCTCATGCATAATGATCTCCTTTACAGGCACCATAACACCATTGTTACCCACCTGGAAATTTGTACCAGCAACAACCTTAAATTGACTTGGCACTGAGGCAATGATACAATGGGCTGCAGTTATAACAACATTTTCCGAATAAATGGTGCCACCGCAAACATGACGATAGCTGTCCTGAGGAGAGAAGAGGCTCTTCTTGCGTAAACTGATCTGATAGCCATGGGCTCCAATGTCGGTGGTATAGCCACCAACAATGCGGGAATTATCCGCAGCTGCTGAATCCTGAAGAGGTAAACTGTGAACCAAGGATGTGGCCAGGAATGCCACAAGAATCAATGTTAAGCTGCCGTACCCCATGACGATCGCGATGATGATGGCTTCACCAAAGACGTTGTAATACTAAAGACGTTCCGTGAACGACTAGCCGCGCCAAACGAAGGCCATTGGTCAATCTTTTTTTTACTGATTATTGTTGATTTTTTGATAAATATTTTTTTTGGGTTTCCATTCTTGGCTTTTATAAAAATTTACGATTGCCGATATCGTAAATTATTATTATTGTTGAATTATGATATTGATTTCAAAAAAACAATTTATAAGTTTACTTTTGCGATAAGCAGAAAGACGACGAGGAATTTCGGAATGGCAAGAAACTGTTTGTTTGGGTGGTTAAATTTTATCTAAAAAATATTGTTAAAAATTATTGGAAAATTTGGCACACGCTTTGTGAGTAATTTAATCAAAGAGATTTTGCCTAAAAGTATGCTTTGAAATGTAAATTATATCATTAGATTAAAGGTGTTGTATTAATATGGGGCACTCCATCGTCAGTTGGACAATTGTTAAGAAGTCATTGTAGAAATACACACATCCACACCTTAGATTGGCTTTCAAAATTTATTTTTAAAAAATGCAAGCCTTAGATTGGCCTTGAAAAAATATTTTTTCGATAATATTAATTTTAAAAGAGTGATTTCAGTGGGAACAAGTATGCGCATGATTGTTGCCACCACGTATACGATATTATGGATAAATTAAAAAACTCAAAACACTGAAACGGATCGTATGATTACTGCCAGCATGCATACGCTACTTACACATTTTCCAAATATCACTTTTAAAAATCCACGCTTCAGAAAGGCATTGAAAAAAATATATTTTTTTAAAAATCCACGTCTTAGAAAGGCCTTGAAAAAATATTTTTTTTTAAAATCCACGTCTTAGAAAGGCCTTGAAAAAATATTTTTTTAAAATCCACGCTTCAGAAAGGTCTTGAAAAAAATATTTTTTAAAAATCCCCGCTTCAGAAAGGCCTTGAAAAAAATATTTTTTAAAAATCCACGCTTCAGAAAGGCCTTGAAAAAATAATTTTTAAAAATCCACGCTTCAGAAAGCCTTGAAAAAAATATTTTTGAAAAATCCACGCTTCAGAAAGGTCTTGAAAAAAATATTTTTTAAAAATCCACGCCTTATATATACCTTTAAAAAAATAAAAATCAACGTCATATATATACCTTAAAATTTTTTTTTAAAAAACCCACGCTTCAGAAAGGCCTTGAAAAAAATATTTTTTTTAAAATCAACGCCATATATATACCTTAAAAAATTTTTTTTAAAAACCCACGCTTCAGAAAGGCCTAGAAAAATATTTTTTAAAAATCCACGCTTCAGAAAGGCCTTGAAAAATATTTTTTAAAAATCCACGCTTATATATATCTTGAAAAAAATATTTTTTTAAAAATCCACGCCTTATATATATCTTGAAAAAAATATTTTTTTAAAAATCCACGCCTTATATATATCTTGAAAAAAATATTTTTTTAAAAATCCACGCCTTATATAGATCTTGAAAAAAATATTTTTTAAAAATCCACGCCATATATATACCTTGAAAAAAATATTTTTTTAAAAATCCACGCCCTTGAAAAAAATATTTTTTTAAAATCCACGCCTTATATATATCTTGAAAAAAATATTTTTTAAAAATCCACGCCTTAGAAAGACCTTGAAAAAATATTTTTTAAAAGTCCACGCCTTAGAAAGACCTTGAAAAAAATATTTTTTAAAAATCCACGCCTTATATAGATCTTGAAAAAAATATTTTTTAAAAAAATCTTCAGATCTTGAAAAAAATATTTTTTAAAAATCCACGCCTTATATGGATCTTGAAAAATTTTTTTTTAAAAATCTTGAAAAAAATCTTCAGATCTTGAAAAAAAATATTTTTGAAAAATCCACGCCTTATATAGATCTTGAAAAAAATATTTTTTTAAAAATCCACGCCTTATATGGATCTTGAAAAAATATTTTTTAAAAATCCACGCCTTATATGGATCTTGAAAAAAATATTTTTTAAAAATCCACGCCTTATATATATCTTGAAAAAAATATTTTTTTAAAAATCCACGCCTTATATAGATCTTGAAAAAATATTTTTTAAAAATCCAAGCCTTATATGGATCTTGAAAAATTTTTTTTTAAAAATCCAAGCCTTATATGGATCTTGAAAAATTTTTTTTTAAAAATCCACGCCTTAAGGTAGGCCTTGAAAATTCCCCAGAAAATATTTTTTAAAAATCCACGCCTTAGATAGATCTTGAAAAATATAAAAAAATCCAGGCCTTAGATAGATTTTGAAAAAATATTTTTTAAAAATCCACGCCTTATATATCTTGAAAAAAAAAGTTTTTTAAAAATCCACGCCTTATATATCTTGAAAAAAAAAGTTTTTTAAAAATCCACGCCTTATATAGATCTTGAAAAAAATATTTTTTTAAAAATCCACGCCTTATATACTATATCTTGAAAAAAAAATATTTTTTAAAAATCAACGCCTTATATATATCTTGAAAAAAATATTTTTTAAAAATCCACGCCTTATATAGATCTTGAAAAAATATTTTTTAAAAATTCACGCCTTATATATAAAAAAATTTTTTTAAAAATCCAGGCCTGGTATGGTCCCCAAAAAATATTTTAAAAAAATCCACGACTTTATAGATCTTGAAAAAATATTTTTTTAAAAAATCCACGCCTTTGATAGGCCTTGAAACACATTTTTTTAAAATCCACGCCATATATAGATCTTTGAAAATATGTCCCTGAAATGTCCGTGAAATATATATTTATTGTTGTTTAAAAAATATGTTATAAAAATCCAAATAAAACCTCATCTTTGGATTGGTTTCAATATAAAAATTTTATTAAATTCTTAAACACGAATACGTTTTCATTTCATTCCCTTACAAATTCGCCTTAACATTCGCTTCAATCCATGACCTCAAATATGCCACATTGGCATATACACCCGGATATTCAGGACGAGCACAGCCGGTACCCCAAGAAATTATGCCAATCAAAGTTTGATTCCATATCAAAGGACCACCAGAATCATTTTGACAGGCATCACGACCACCCGTTGCCACACCAGCACACAGCATATCCTCAGTGATACGACCAAATCCATAGGCTTCATTACACACCTCACGATCGATTAACTTTACATCGGCTTCTTGTAATTTAAAGGCATTTGGACCACCCTCAGAGATGGTGCCCCATCCTGTCACCCAGGCTGTGGCACCCGTCCTTGGTTCTTCTTCGGCCAATTTCACAGAATTTATGGTAAAACCATTCAGCGCTAATGGTGTGGCCAACACTAACAAGGCCACATCATTTTGTGTCAATGCCGGATTATAATTCTCATGGATGAGGACTTTTTCCACGACAGCCACAACACCATCCGAACCTGAACGATTGTCGGTACCAGCAACAACAATGAAATTCTCCACATCACGTTTATAGACACAATGGCCGGCTGTTAGAATGAAGCGTTCGCTGTAGATGACACCACCACAGGTGTGTAGGAAGGTGCACTCATCACACGATTTGTAACGTAAGGAGATTTGATGAGGATGTTTGGTAATTGTCACATCACGACCACCAACAATACGACCATTGGGAATAGTTCCGGCTTCCAGGCCGATGGCAAAAATTGCCAATAATGTTATTGCGAATAATCTAAACATATTCAAGTGAAATTTATGACTGATTTGCTGGGCCTGGTCGAATGCTTGTTTTCTTTTTTTCTGTTTGCGGCATTTCACGCCGCTGTCAAACTTATCAATCAATCGATAATATGGTGGGATTTAAGATAACCGATATGATTGTGTATTTAATCGTTTTGTTATTATGGATTGTCGGGACAGTGGGTCTACAAAACGACACTGAGAAAAAAATTTAGGTGTGGAGGTCTCGAAAAAATATTTTTTAAAAATCCACGCATTAGATAGGCTTTGAAAAAAAAAATTTTTTTTAATCCACGCCTTAAATAGGCCTTGGAAAAATATTTTTGTTAAAAATCCACGCCTTAAATTTATTAAATAATTTTTTTATTAATTACATTTTTTAACTATTTCTAAACATTATCAGCAATAGTATCCAATATCCATTGCCTAAAATAATACACATTCGTATAAACCCCTGGATAATCCGGCAAAGCACAACTGCGACCCCATGAAACAATGCCGGATAATTTTCCACCCACCAACAGCGGACCACCAGAATCACCTTGGCAGGCATCTTTACCACCCACCCCTTCCACACCAGCACACAGCATAGCATCGGTGATACGTCCCGGTCCATAGGTAACAGCATAAGCCGCATCACAACGATCATTTGACACAATTGGTACATCAACCGCCAACAACTTATCCGAAGCAACTCCCCCAGGAGCCGTGGTACCCCAACCGCTAATAACAGATTTTGCGCCATGTATGGGTATTGATTCTGTCAATTTTACCGCTCTCATTGTAATATCATCTAAAGGCAGCGGGGTAGCCAGAAACATCAGGGCGATATCATTATCCGTAATTGAGGGATTATATTTTTCATGCATTACGATTTTTTCAACCCTTGCCGCCACACCATCTACCCCGTTACGAGTACTTGTCGCAGCCACAATTAGGAATCTGTTCGCCACACGATTATTAACACAATGGGCGGCAGTTATAATGACATCCGCTCGCAGAATACTGCCACCGCAGAGATGTGAATAGGAAAAGAAACTGAAGAGTTTGTACCGCAGCGACACCTGATGTGGATGCCGGGTGATATCCACTGCATAACCACCAACAATTCGACCGGTTTGTTTCGAATTTATATCCTTATCTTCGTTTTGGGTAGGTAGTCCCGCCACCAGAGTTACAAGAATTGTAAGTACTAAAATACCAAAGAGGTTCCTCATTTTGTGTGTCGAAGTTAATCTGGGTTACTAAACTTTTTCCGGTTGCAGGTTAAGGTTTTTATAGCCAAGCCAAAGGTAAACAATATTTTTATTGACCCAGACAATAACTGATAAA